TGCTTAGAGTTTTTCCCTGCAGAAATGTTCTCTGGGAGGTAGGCTTCGTTCTGTAGTTTGATTCCTTGCATGTTTGCATGTGTGTCACTACTTGGGATCTAAATGGAACTATCCTTTCAGATCTGGAGCATGGACTGGGGGTGATGGTGCCTGGGTTGAGCTCTCTGGGAAAATGCACGTTCTCTCCAGACTTTTGGCCAACCTACGTCGAAAAACCAATGACCGCATAGTCCTTGTATCAAACTACACACAGGTATGCTGGATAATGTCAATTCGAGTTGGATAGAAAGTTACTTTTATTTAATTTGAAAGGACAGTGCATAATTTTGGTGTGAAATGCCTCAACATGGATTTTGAACAAATTCAGCTGCTAGTCGTCACTAGTGATGTTACTACTGGCCTAACTTTCAATTATGGATGTTGCAATCTCTTTTGAATTTGAATTAGTCATAAGCTATGTGTTATGTTATCCTGAGTTTTATGAGCCATCATATTTTTTTGGAACTTTTGCATGTGATATCGGAGAAGCTAAGGAACTCGTTACCCTGATTTGTCTATTTGTATCCAAAAGACAACTCAGGATAAAATGATGGTGTGTTGCATATATATAGCAATTAAAATCCAGTCTGAGTATACAATAATCATAGCCTGTACCTTTTGCACTAGACATTGGATCTTTTCGCTCAACTCTGTCGTGAAAGAAGATATCCTTTTCTGAGGCTGGATGGATCAACAACAATCAGCAAGAGGCAGAAGCTTGTTAACCGGTTGAACGACCCAACAAAGGTACATGAGCTTATCTATTTATGCAGTTGTTTCAAATCTGAGTATACACCTGGTTTGACTTTTGGTTTTGGTAGGATGAGTTTGCATTTCTTTTAAGCAGCAAGGCGGGTGGCTGTGGATTAAATTTAATCGGTGCTAATCGACTTGTTTTGTTCGATCCCGATTGGAATCCTGCCAATGATAAACAAGTAATTAATTACCATCCTAACTTCCCCTTAGATATGTTTCAATTCTATCTTGATAAGAGATGATCGATTGTGCTCTGCATGCATTATTTCGCTGTCAAAACAGGCTGCTGCTAGAGTTTGGAGGGATGGGCAAAAGAAAAGAGTATATGTATACAGGTTTCTTAGTACTGGAACTATTGAAGAAAAGGTACTGCATAACACCAACATAACACATAACTAGCCTAATTTGGTACTCAATTATCCTCGGGGGGAGTAATTGCTTACCTCAGATTCATATTGGTTTTCCATTTGGTATATTGGTAGGTTTACCAGCGCCAGATGTCAAAGGAAGGGCTTCAAAAAGTTATTCAGCATGAACAGACGGATAACAACACGAGACAGGTCCTTGCTGGAATGTTATATGCTTCATCTATTAGTCATTTTGTGTCTAATGCTTGAATATCAACCACAACATCTTTGATTTTCCAGGGGAACTTACTTTCTACAGAGGATCTACGAGATTTATTTTCTTTCCATGGGGATGTTAGGTATGTATTTCTTCTGAATTCAGAATGTTTTGTGCCCACTCTGACATGGCTTCTCTATCCAATTTATGGGAACAGAGTTTGTACCTCAAGGATTATACACAATTCAATGGTTTATCTCAAAGCATTTTTCCTGGTAATGTGACTAGGTCTGAAATCCATGAAAAGATGAGCTGCAATAGGTGCCAAAATGATTCCGCTGGTACTGAAAACATCGAAGAAGGAAATGAGAACAACGTAGATGACAATGCTTGCCAGATTGACCAAGAAGACATAGGCGGATTTGCAAAAGATGCAGGATGCTATAACTTGTTAAAAAACTCTGAAAAACAGGTCCCTTCTTGTGCTTGTTACTGAGTCATGCATTAATCGAAGACTGTTTTGAGCTATTTCTTCAGCAATTCCATTGTCTGCTACAAACTCTGCTCATGTCTATTGCCATCCGATTCATCTAAAAAGAATTTTTTCCTTGAATATTCTCAGGTGGGCACTCCATTGGAAGAAGATCTAGGAAGCTGGGGTCATCACTTTACCTCAAAGTCTGTTCCGGATGCTATACTGCAAGCTTCAACAGGTGATGAGGTGAGTTGTCTCCAAGTTTTTTCAATATAATCAATCATTAATGTCAGATTTATGGAAAAGCCAATAAGTTTACAGGTTTTGTGATAACTATTTTCATGGTCTATAAATAAACATTGCAGGTTACGTTTGTTTTCACAAACCAGGTAGATGGGAAGCTCGTTCCCATCGAATCAAATGTCAGTCCAAAAATGGTGGAGTCCGAAGAGCACAATCGGAACCAAACTGTAAATAAGCGTGCCTTTAACAAACCACAACAAAGACCTCGGGAACCGCTGCAACCGTTGTCTCTCAACGAGACCACAAAAAGAGTGAAGTTGTCTACTTATAAGCGTTTACATGGTACTAGTAACATTGATGATGCTCAGATTAAAATGTCTTTGCAAAGACCAAATCAAGTTTCTGTAAATCACGATGATGATTTTGTATGAGATTGAAGTTTTTGAACCTTGAGACATTATTATGCTAATTTTGTGGACATTCTTTTTTTTTTTTTGTTTTTTCTTCTTTTCCCTCGGAGGTTCATTAGACTCATAAGTACTCGCATCACATGATATGGTGTACTATGGATTCAAGTTAGGGATGTTTAGAAGATCCAAAGCATGCATGTATATATTATTGGTTTGGACGAGTTTGATCTTAAGACCACAAAAGAAAAAAAAAAAAAGTGAGTCTATTAGGACCATCAAGGATTTTTTTTTTTTTTTTTTTACCATCAAGGATTTGCTGTTGTAGGATCGGACGATCGAATGTGTGACGTTCCGTTTTGTCTTATTTTGCCAATATGAATGCATGATCATATGCTTAGATCAGTCGAATCCCAAACGTTGAAAAGTCATGACCGAACTGGATCGGCTAAATCCATGAGAAATATTGGTCTTTCTTCCTAAAATGTAGAAAAACTATAATGATGTTAGTTTAGTGGAGATTCTTCTATTATTTTTGCAGGATCCTGAATTTAGTGTAGGATTCAGATATTTAAAGATAAAGTAAAAATGCAACAATAATTGGACGTGTTAGTTTGTCTTTTTGTTGGTGAAGGACTTAAGTGTTAAGAAATCAGATTAGTGAGGTGAAAAGGTAATTTATTTGTTAAATAAATAACAAAAAATAAAGAGAGTTAAGTAAGAGGAAGAAGACAGAAGATGTAGAGAAAATCGGGGACAAGAAGACAGCCAAAATAAAATTTAGATACAACTTACTTATCCACCACAAAAGTCCTCTGATACTATCTATATGTCTAGATTCCCTTACCATGCTTTACAACTTTTTTTAAAAATGTAAATCCTACTCTGGTTTTAGCTCCTTGCTTCTTTAAATTAAAAAAATTGCAAGATTGTTATATTTATGTATTTGATTGGTAACATTATCTCCACTCGTCAAAAGAATGGGAACTTAACACATATTCACTAGAGAAACTCGATCTGAAAAACTTGCAGGATCTGAATCTAAGTCAAAATATGCAATTGCACTCGAGAAACATATAGTTTTTGCACATTCCGAAAATAATTTTTTGTACACAACTTTTATGTCCACTTACGTAGAAGTACAAAAGTACCACGCGTCAAAACCCTAGTTGGAGAAACGTGGGAAAATTTCATTAGGACTGGAAGTGAAGCACGTGAGGGTATACACAATAAGACAAACGTTGGCAGAGTTTTAGTCAAACCCTAAAATCTGAATCCAGAAAGATAGATTTTATACAATTTATGTTTTTTTATTATTATTTTATGTTTTGGGGCTTTTGATCAGTAGAACAATTACAGCTCAGCTTCACATGGCTCTTTTGGTGCTACAGTAGTTTGTCTGCTCGTTTGTTTCTTCTATTTGTCTAATAACAACAATGTATGATTAAGAAATTTCTTAACCCTATCCGAGAGAAATATAATTACTTTATTTTCTTGATTAAGGGTGTTTATGTACATTACTAATCCCTAGTTCCAATATAAGACATATTCTCTACAACTATCTCCTCCTACCTTTAGAATAATAAATTTTATAGAATTATTTGAGAGAGAGAGGGATTAGAGAAATACTATGTTCACACTTGCGAGTGCATAATAGTCCCGAGTACGTGAAGTAGCGGATAGTTAGGCGAAATTTTATCTTATGAGTATCATGAATGACCAGATGCAAAAAATTTCTTTTACTAATAAATAAACGAGTGCTTTAACAATTACTTTCGCATTAGCGGTACAAAAAATTAAAGCTAATTTATAAGATAAAGAAATGATAGGGAAACGATGCGGACAAGGTGGACTTATGTCGGTTAATAAAGTGCCACACTTAAATCGAACTAAATCTAAGAGACAAACAGAAAAGTTCATGAAAATGCAATGCAATGTATCTAAATCATCTATGAACGACAGATCTAGTATATGTTATGCTTTCAATACACATTGAATTCGAACCCATTTAAAGTGTTATGCCATTTTTTCTTATAATGATGCCATCTTATCTTATGTACTTCTTTTGTTTATATTTTTGTTCACCCGTATATATTAATCCATAACAATCTTGATATCAGTGCAAAGTGCAAACTATATATTTTTACTCTAAACTATTCTCTTATAATATAAGAGAGATGTTAACTAAACCATCAAATGTAATGTACTGAAAGAAATGTTCTAAAAAAATTTGTATAATATACCCCAAAGATATACAAAATCAAGATATACCTCTGCAAAAGTCTAAAAAAAAATAATCTACTTCTTACCCAATCATTCCAAGAAAAGAAACTAAAATTTAATTTACCCGAACATATGCAAATATTGGATTAAAGATAGTAGTTTGATAGTGGTTTTAAGTTTGTATTGAGTTATAAATAGTTATACGGACAACTATACTAATTTCAAAAATTTCAAATAAGTGTAAATATTGATATGGAGTATGGACGATGAAAAAAGTTTTTAATGAAAATTTTATTTGTGTTGGCAATATAAATATTTTGAGGACTATAATCCAAATTTGGAGAAATGTTACCTTTACTTAAGCCATATTTACGGCGCATTAATGCTTCAATCAATACTTTTGCTTATTTTATCCACAGAGAGGTCAAAACTAAAATTAAATAAACTTAAGTTCATTGAATCGGTTTTACTCAGTGTCAATCTATATAGAAGAAATATAAAAAATAATCAAAAACTAGATAAAGAAAAAAAAAAAGAAAAAAAAAAGATGAAGTCCACACCACATGGATGTCTACCAATCTCATATCTATAAAATGCATAACATGTGGATGCATGAAAATCACAATTCAAGACTATCACAAAAGAAGAAGCAAACTTACTAATTGAACTTAAGTGTTAAGAGTAGATAAAGAGAGAGAAAGAGATGGCTAATGCTGTAGAACAATCCTCATTGTATCCATCCTTTGTAGACGCAAGAATCTCATTCTCCAATGATTTTGCAGACAGTGACAGTAAACAGACAGTGTCAAGAGTGGAGGATCAGATGAAGTACAAGGAAGCTCCTGTTTCTTCGGATTTCAAATTCAATGTCGAAAACTTGGGTTTCACTTCTGCGGCTGATGAGATCTTCTTTGGTGGAGTTTTGTTGCCACTGGAGAAGACTACTCAGAGGAAAGTGACGACACTTAGAGATGAACTAAGTGCTCAAGATTCTGACCGTACCATCATCTCAAAGGGATCTCGTAATTGGTGGAAGTTAGGTCTCAACAAGTCCAAGAAAATCCATGCACACAAATCTCAGGTTAGCATAATTATTTGTTATTTGATCAAACACATGTTGTGTCTAACTTGATTATGTAGTTCTATATAATCTTATGTGTATATTTCTTATTTTTACAGAATTGTCTTGCAAGTATAATGGAATCTGATGACTGAAAGATCCACTCCGGAAAAAGTCAGCTAACTACGGCGAACTAGATATGTAATGCTAATAAAAAGCTATATATTATTATTTTCGATTTTTTATTGTTCTTATTTTTCCTGTTTTTCTTGGAGTTCTCTCTAATTTTTATGTAGTTTGTTTCCTATGACCTATGATCATCATCGTTAGCTATATTATATCTCCATCGTTGAAAAACCACTTGAATGCAACTGGTTCAGTATTCTAATAAACTCTCTGGTTAACACCTAAATGATTAGCATGCATTATGTCCTAATTTTGCCGACTGATTAATCGGATAGATATAGATGTATTAATCAGCTAGTCTCAGATAGTCCTTTAAAGAAGAAGAATTTTTTTTTTTTCCGTCTGGTTAAAATATATTAGAAAGATGATAATATCCAAAACAACACAATCTTGAACACAATCAAGATGTACACAGCTTAGAGAAAGGGTAACACACCTCTAAACCTCCAAAAAATTAGTAAAAAGCAAAGGACCATGAACGTTAACTAACAACCGAGGTAAGTCGCTCCTCTTCAAAAAATCCATGCAACCAAAAAGGATGGCCTGCTCCCACATAATCATGTAATCTTCCTTCAGAAGTAACACTTTGTGCAATAAGAGTAGAACCTCTATTTGAAGCAGCACTTTCAACCTCCAACTTCCAATCCTTAAACTTATCCAAAAAACGATTAATCTCCATCACCTCATGACTGAAAGAAGGCCATGCTTTAGGTCTCGCCATAGCACCAAAAATATCGTGAGCCTCAGCCGCAAATATAACCCTATTCATCTTCAGACTGAACATGCTCTCCATGGCCCAAGTCAAACACATAAGCATAGCCTCTTTCTTGTTGTTCAAACCACAAAAAACTTTCCTACTATGTACTATAACCTTCCCATCTACATCTCTAACCACCCATGCTCCACCTCCCAAACGGTTTCTGTTAGACCAAGACAAGGAAATGTTACACTTGCTCCACAGATCCGGTGGAGGTTCCCACTTTTTAACCTTTGCACCTGTGAATCTCTCCAGCTCTTCTTCCACATTTTGAACAACATTTTGAGCCAACAACCACTCATCAACATCATCCCAGATTTTCCTCATTGAATCTTGTGGACAGAAACAAATACCTTCAAAAAAGAACTTGTTTCTATTCTTCCACAATCTCCACAAAACCCAAAGAAGAAGAATTCTATGCAACTTCTTTCACTATATTCGACTAAAATACAAGATGCCACAGCTAACTTCTATTTGACGCCAGAAAATAATAAATATAACAGTAGTTTATTAAATGAAACATGATTTTTCGGGAACCATGTTTGACCACGTTTGCAACATGATCCTGCCTGTGCCTGAGTGTGAGTAGTCGAGTCCCACTCGATTTTAAAATATTTTAATGATTTTAAAATATTTTAATGATTTTAACATAATGAAGATAGAAACTGAAAGTTATTTTGAACAAAAAACCTGTACACTTTCACTCATTTGGCAAACTTGCTGGGGGTAAATTTACAATGAAGCAATATCGAAAATGTCTATGCACAGAGACAAACAAACTGAATGATTCTATAATGTTTAAAAGATTTATATTCTATACCAAAACTATCCCATCTCTTTGGCTTTTCAATGGGTAAAAGAATGGTTCTGCACTTTACTCTATCCAAACCTATACACCTGCAGGAAAATGAAACATGTTGAAACCTATAAGCTCGAGAAACCCAATCACCAAAAATCCATATAAAGAGCAAACCGTTTATAAGAATTGAAAAACCACCGAACCGGTAAACTTAGATCTCAGTAAGTTTAGTAGACTTACATGCTATATGTAAAAGGGACCTCACACCAACATGGATAATCTGTAACAAACAGATTACAACACAGTGCAGTAAATGGTTAAAACCAGGTTTCTCAAACTGCTAGATGAATATCCGCAGTTGCAATAACCAGTCTGAGAAGATGTAAGAGTATTAGACTGACCAGGAATTTACCTGAGTTTATCGGTGTTGGTCCTGCTTCCTTTGTTTATCAGGGCCTAAGTACTTTTCCATGGATTCCTTTTTATGTTCAGGATCAAGACTGAAAGTAGAGATAATAATCTCCATGAGTCTTTAATACTTTGCAAATAACAGATTTTTCCAGCCGTATTTCCACAATATTTAATATGAACTAACCTATTTCTGATGCCAACTAGAGCACTATGTACAGCTCTAGCACAAGCTGAAGCAGGTGCTATAGCAGCTGTTGGAACTCCCTGAACAACTGTTGCAAATGCTGATCCAGCTCCGTCTCCACGTTGATACTTCTTCAAAGGTGTGCGGACTAATGCAGAAGCTGTCTTTCCTATTCCATCACCGATGCTCTCACATGCCTATAAAACCTCGGCAATGTAAATATATCATGATCCAGGAGCAGAAATGCAGGACATGTATTGCCTTTTTCACTCACCTTAAGCATGCCTTGCTTAGCGTTTCTAGGCTGATTATGTCTAACATTCGTCTTTGTTTTGCCTTGGGGTTGTGGCAATGATGGTGCACTTGCAAATATATATTCTGCTCTCAATAAAATATCATGAGCCCCGGCTGCCAAGTGAACACCAAGTCCAACAGCTTCCAGTGAGATGCTTCTGAGAAACGCTATAGTACCTGAAAACAGTTACAGTTTCGTAATGCATACCATAGAATAATACAAAAAATGAACTCCTGGATGAACCAAACACATGCTGCTGAACATATTTATTTAAGAATGGATAGTATCAGGAACATGATCATGACCTGACACTGTGGATGTGTAATAATTTTGCCACAGCAACATATGTTATGCATCTTGCTTAAAGGAGGCAATTTCAGAATCAACTATTTTAGAAGTCTTTTATATATAAGGGTTTCCTAATCATGGTCAGAGGGCTACCAGCTATTGTCATTAACCCTTGTTCTAGAGGAATGAGAATCTAGAAAATATATTAACCCCAAAAGAAACTTTTATGAATAGCTTCAGTTTTGCAAGTGGCTTCGGCAGTTGTAATATCATATACGATAACGAACAAATCTTATCAGCGCACTATAAGTAGCTTAGTTTCTGATAACAGAAAGAAAGAAAAGGAATATAATAACGAAAATTGAGCATTCAGCACTTTGGGTTTTCACGTCTTACCTCTTTGGACTCCCTTCACTAGCCTTCGATCTTTCCTGTAACTTTCAACAGGTGACGAGACCAGCTTTAGAGCAGCAGCATAAAGAGCAGAAAGTGATCTTACTGTTGGGATCCCCTTTAACAGTTGATGAATCTAAAGATGCAGTTATAGAACATTCAAAAGCTTGTCAATAACCCATAAAAGGGATGATCATTAATGTGCATAAGCCATAGTCTTCCAACCAAACCTGATTCTGAGATACATCTTCCAACCATTCTCCCAGTATAGTCTCACATACATTTCCCCAGCCATAGATTCCAGCAGCATGCACATGTTTGAGCTGTAATTCAATCCCCTGCATATATTCCTCTGTGATGAGCAAATGATGCTGAAAAAATCTTGAAGACACACACAGGTTGGAAAGTTTTGTTTCTTACCTTCCAGGGTACAAGGTTCACAAGCTCTGCATATTTCCCTCCTGTTAGTGCTGCTATATCAACATGATGGGGACTGTAATCAACTCGAACACTAACAGGCCATACGTCAAATTTCTGCAAAATGAATTAAATTAGTCAGAACTTCCTCAAAACTTCGAATACAAGAACACCGAGGTTTATAATTTCAGCTGAATGACATCATGTTCTCATGCCAATCAACATGATTAGCATCACATTCATCTGAGCACGTGAATGCTTCTCCTCCGCCATCATACTAGCTTATAGGAAGAAAGAAGCTTTATTTACCTGAAAATATGGAAGAAGCGCTTCTTCTATGATATTATGTCCTTTAACAGAAACCGACAACGTTGAACCACCTGAGTCTCCCATGGAAACATCAGGCTTTTCTAGGCTGTTAGCTCCAAAGAAGCTGATGAGAAAATCCAGTTGACTTTGATGAAGATGCAACAGTATAGGGAGTAAAGCGACCCGTAACCTGGGAGGACGCAGTTCATGAGGAAAAGGAAAGAAAGGGTATTCATATATATTTAAGCCATTAGCAGAAGGTCCATTTAAGTGGCAGAGAAAAGGAATGAAACACCAAAATCTACCAAATAGGGGGACTCTTGTAGAAACATTTATGTATGAACATTACTACCTCCACGGAAAAGTGACCTCAATAATATAGTATTAACGCAATTGTCCTTTCTTTGATAAGCATTAAATTTGACAATGTAGCTAATGTATAAAGATAACAAACGTAACTCAGAAAAAGTTTGACAGAGTTGTTGGGAACAAAGGATTGTACTACGAAAACAGAATTTGTTGAAAATTTTCCTGAAGAATCTTTTGTTGAAAATTTTATTGTGCATAAAACTAGGTTAGTGTTTACTGAAATAATAATTGTGGTCTGCATTCTTAGATATAAGAAGAAAAGTAAGTATAACACCGTAAATAATATAGATAGCATACCGGTTTTCCTCAAGTGGCGTCTCAGGGTCAGGTCTGACAGCTTTTAATTCCAACTTGAAAGCATATGAAGAGGAATCTCTTGGGTGATCTTTTGAGTTATAATATCCAAGGACCTATAATTAAACGGAACAAGTTAATTTACCTACCCAGGTTTTTCTAGTATAATCAATCTTATGATGATAAGAGTGAAAAATCTCAATTACCAATGTCCAAGGTGCATTGTTGCTTCTATCATACAGATAAAAATCTTGGACCATGAGAGATAATTTAGAGGTACATATTCCGCCAATTGGAAAGGTTTCATACAGGAACTGCACCCCAGATAACTCCAGCTCAAGGCACGAAGTTGTATCCCGGCCCTTTGTATGTTTAAAATTTTCACCTTTCTTTCTAGAATCATGCCAATCAGAGCCAGAGTAAATTCTCCATTTGAGGTCAATGTTTTTCAGAAGGATACGTCCATTAGGTGCTACAGCAGGATAAGACGTCTGGCCAAAAGATGAAAATTCTCCATCCAGAATATGTTCCTCATGATCTTCCTCAGTTGCTTCTGACACATGGTCTTCTAAAATTCTTAAGGACGCGTCATCATACCACCCAGAATTTCCTCTCCTCAGATCAGTCTCAGGAAACAATTCTCTCCCTGATGAATCCCCATCTTGAGGTACCTCTGACGATGGACGGAAGTCAGAAAAACAATAGTTTTCAAATATTTCAGGCAGGCTCTCTCTATCTAGGAATATTTTACTGCTTTCTGAATTTATTCTAGATGATGACCCACAGATACTGTGATTAGAAGGTAGTTTCTCAGGAGTAGCAGGTACCCAATTATATGCCTGCCCATGAGAGACTCCATGAGGTGACATATAGTTATTCTGACACTCCACAGAGTCAGACTGACCTGTCAGATTGACATCAAATTGGAATGCATCTTCATTTATTTCGTCCATCAACCCAATGACCCCAGTTTCATTTTCTGACTCTAATCTTAAATATTTCATTTCTCCACTTGAATCGGAGCTACTGAGTCTGTCGCTGATATCAAAATCATTCCTAGCATTTGCCTGCTGAATGCTGTCCCATCGAGTCTGCAAGTGCACAGCTGATTCCTCCAAATCAGGAGCAAGTAACTGTTGGAGCTGGGTGGCCAAGCGAATCAAACCAGAAGTCGTGTCACTGCAAGTTTCAATTAATAAGTGAGATTTGGAACACTCTAACTCCCAAAGAAGGCCATTTTCAGAGTTAGTCCTTAGAGTTGCTTCAATAAGCGCCTCATTAGCAACTTTAACATAGCCAGTCTCATGAAGATGCTCTGAACTGTACATTCCATTAAGCTTGCTAAGGTCAAAATCCACGGACAGAAGAAGCCCAAGATCTTGAATCCTGATTCTATAATCATTTCTTATGGAATCAACCAGACTTTTCTTTGAAAGGCTAAAAGAAGATGCAGCTACCAGACAGGCAACCCATGGAATACTTGCTTGACGTAAATGATCTGTACTCTCATGGTGGGGCTCATAGCTTAGACCAACATCAACCAAATTCAGAATAAAAGAGGAGCCGCTAGATGAGCTGGAGTTCATCTCTTGAGATTTTTTTTCATCTTCAAAAGTGAAAAAAGAAGTAGCCACTTCTATCCAATCCAGGCGTCCTCCCACAGCCGAGATCGTACAGCCCCTGACAGATACTGCTAAATAATCATAACAAATTCCTGGTTCCTGTAAGTGCAGAAAATCTAAGCCAGCGAACCTTGACGACAATGCATTTGAACCTCCTCCATTACCACGTTTGATTGCAGAATTGTTACATGAGAGTAATAGCAGTCCCTGATCAGCTAGACCTGTAACAGAACCCCATAAGGTGCCTTCCCCATGGGCTAACCAAAAGAAATCAGCACCAGAGATACTGCCAAGATTTGAGACAGACATAAGATTTAATTTCTGAACCCTCAGGTTGAACTGAATCCATGATCCAGGAAGCTCAGTCTGAAGCTGAATTTTTATGCCCATTTGAGGTTCTGGCCTAACCAAAATGTCAATAGAATCACATTCAACAACGAGAGACGTTTGACACACAACAGATTCCCCTGTTTGCTCAGCTGTATTGGCTGCCATACGTGATAGCCAAATTTTTGCCTCTTCTACGAGATTACATAATTTGCTGTATTGCCAACTATCTAAACGGATAGCAAGTGGAAGCAAATGAAGATAAAGGCAGAATGAAGAAGCCATAATTATTTCTTTCCTGGTTCGAGAGTAGATGTCTTCTTGATCTTTGGGCGTAGCAACAGCAGCAAACTCAAGGCCACTCCCCCCAGATTTATCTGTCTGAATAGATTCTTCCTGCGTAGCCAACATCTTAGCTCTCTCCACTAAACAAGGGCTAACAGTAGGTCTATCTTGCCAAAACATACCAATGGTTGAAAGTTGGTGCCTCGTTTTATTGTTGGTATGTAAGATATTATATGCAGAGAATTCAACCTGCCTACGATATGAATTTGTTTCGGAATCTTTATGGTCAGAAGTAACCAAATAGATGCTAGCATCACCGACACGGAAGCATATAGAGCGAGTAGCAGATGTAAAGTACATTTCTCCCGGACTTCCTTCCTTACGCCTATCCTTGTCAGATTGCGGAGAGGAAGATAAGTCGACGACAATAAACTGCTCACCAAGCGAGTTACATAACCTTTCTGAAATGCTCTCAAAAGGAAACCACAGAATCACTCGAGCATTCCAGATTGACACACTACCTCGCAAACTTTCTGATTTAGAAGAGGATGCCACCTGATTCCTTTCATGACTGAATATGGGGATAGATTCGGATACATCGTTGAAAAGATTTACCAACATTTCTACTGAATGAAGGTTCAGCCAGAATGTGGTAGGTGGTAAACTCAACGAGAATGAGTTTGATCCTCTATGGCTGGCTTTGGATGATTGGAAATTGACAATAAACTGAAATCCACTGCCCCCTGCAGCTATAACCAACAATGTCTTGACTGCGAAACCCTTGCTACGAAAGAGAAATCCATCAGAAACTATCTCGCTTAATCTTTCAGAGTCAGTATGCATATCAGACGAGGCAAAGGGAGGAAGACTAGTCTGAACTTTCGCTTGTAAATCCTTAATCAAACAAGTCTGAGATTCAGCATTAGCAGTGTCAACAACATTTCCAGCTTGAAAATAATCGGCGATCTCCATGCTGTTCACTTCTCCTTCTAACCTCAGATCATGAGGGCATACCTGTTGACCTTATTGAATGTTTTAAGAAACTCAAGCACAGATACTAGCGAGGGGAGGAAACACAATTCATCAAGGTAATTACCTGAAAAGAGACCGAAATATCTCTGAGTTCTGCACCCAAGTAGTGAATCCGCGTGGAAACATCCTTCCAATTGTCTTCATCTTGGAAAAATAATACCACCGAAACTCCAGCAAAGGATAATTTACAACTTGTTTCAACATGTTGTTGTTCTGCATATTGATGAGAATAGTGCACATAGTTTGTTACTATAACGACTTAAACTGCTTGGCATTACTAGCTAATTGATTGATTTAATTACAAAGCTTGACAGTGTATAGGGTAGCAGTGAAAGAATAGAGAACACAAGAAATAACCTAAGATTACATAACAGGATTAACACCGGTATAAGAAAGCTTACATCTCTTTGGTGATAACACATACCAATATGCTCAATGCACAAATTTAAACACAATTCAAGAAAGTATTCTTACCAGAAGGAAGAAGCAAAGACCCAGAAGCAAGGCTAGATGCAGCATTGATTGCTGTGAAGACAGAAGATGTCCAATTCCACATTCCTTGGCTTCCACAAGCTGATTGGTAACTCCTCATTGCATCAAAACATTCAAAAAACTGGTCCACACTGTAGGAAACAAGAAGAGATAACACAGATAAGAGAATTCAGTTAAAAACTAAAGGTAAATTCATATCCAGATTGTGATGAAAGATGAAAAACAAGTCAAGTAAAAAATACAATATCTCTGAAAGACTTGAGAAAACGAAATATCATGTTAGAGACATCCTTCATACCTTGCCCCAATATCTACTTCTCCATCCTCTTCTTTCTTGCTGAAAGAAGACGGAAACCAATCCGGTATAAACTGTAAGTTAGGTGTAGTATCAGGCTCCAATTCTTGGCCACCTGACACTGATAGTGTAGCTGGAGGCGTTACCATTGCATTAGTAGGTATTGTAGGTGAATCCGTCAATGAATCAGAATGAGAAACTGATGGGCAACAGTCTGATCCGAAACTTGTGAAAGTCTTCCACAATTGTAAGAACCATCTAATTGTAGACGGTTGAAGTCGTACTTCAACAGGATCAATAGAAATATCAGCATCCACCTTGCGAATGTCTAAAGAACCATTCTTCCAGGGTATACTAAAATTCAAACTCCCTGAAAAGCCACCTCCTTCGCCGGTCATGATCAAAGTCACATCATTTGATGTTTTTTTACCACAAGTTTTGTCGCCATCATCATCATCCATATTTAAAAGCTCTACGACGGCTCCTTGAAACTTCACACAGTTTGCAAGTCGACTAGTACCAAGGAAACTATCAGGAGAAACATCAGCAGCCGAAACTCGGTCCTCTGAAATTCCACACTCTATTTCTGTCATTCTAAGTACCAATGTTGGCCGAGGACCAGCTTCATTCAGTTTTTGGCCAAAATCGGGATCAAATGCTATAATCAGATTCTTAATTTTGACATGAAAACTTGTAAGAAACCATTTCACTATCTTGGCAACCGTCTTAACGCCTTCATGGACATCGATAGACGCAGATTTTGCAGCGTTCAACAACATGTCATTCTCATGCTTTCCTCTTTCAAGACGTATATTATGTGAATCTTCTCGGGTAGAGGCGGAGGTGCTGGCTTCATTTGAAGATGATGCATTAGTCTCCAAACGTGGTGCAAGAACAAGCTCAAGCTCGTCAACCTCAACTTGACAACCATTAGTCTTCCAAGGCATTTTAACTACCAAAGCTCCAATTGAGCCTTCCTTTATGAGTAGGGGAGCATCAAACTGGATTCAAATAGGAAAGATAGTACAGGAGATGGTACTGTCAGAATTAGTTCCTTTTCAACAAATTGATAAGAAAATCAAACTGAGAATGGTCTTTAGTTCATCCAGAAATAGACCACTACCAATGAACTAGAGCTCCCCGATAGAGAATTTGAAACAAACAAAAGCAACTAAAACACAGTTTCATCATCCTCAACATAAAACCTCAATATGCTTAAACTTCTAATCCAGAGCCAAACACTAACACACTTGTTCAGAATTCCATAGCATCATTTGAAAGAAAAGATGAGGAAGAAGGAAAAAAAACCTTGTCATTAAAATAGTCAACGTTGATAGCAAGATCGGAGAGCTGAATAGAGCCATCACGAAGCTGAATATCGAGCTGATCAAGGTCGATATCACCAAGTATGAGTTTACCCAATTTCTTCTTCAACAAGAATTTGACGACCCTCTTCACCGCCCATCTAGAAAAAGCTTCCTCCGCTGATTTAGCAATGTTCCAGGGAAAAACCATCTTCTTTGTTGTTTCCTTCCCCCTTGCGGGATTAGAGAATCTCGACCCTAATTTTGGGATTTTTGATGAAATTTTTAGGGTTTGTCTTAGGGATGGTGACTCGTGATTGGATTGCGGATAAAGAGAGAATCAGAAGGAAGCAAAAGTTGAGTAGACTTTCGTCGTCGTCGTCGTCGTCGTCTTACGGTTTTTTTGCTTTTCCGTGTGGTGGAATAAGTGCCGTCTCTTTCTATTCTTTCTTCATTAACCGGATCTATTATTGTGTGGTACAGTACTGGTAACACGAAAACCGGTTCTCAATCCTAATTGGGCTCTAAGTTAGTTGATCATATCATAAATTAAGGGGTAAATGCCACAATTCTCCACGAACTGAGTCTTGAATCCCTTATATTATTATATCAAACCAGGTTTTTATCAACATAGCCAATTATTTAAATAAAACTGTGGTTTAAGTTCCTCCCCTACACAAATGTGTAGGTGGCCATTTTAGTTTTCTGGTTTGCTTTGGTTTAGTTCGGTTAGAATTTTTTGGTTTTTGTGTTATTAGTATTTTTTGGTTTGGTGCGCGACTTCGCTTTCAACTATTTTCTTAAAGTTTGTTTCTCTTTCCCTTATCCAAATCATAAACTATCAAATTAAATCAACGTAAATCAAAATATTTAGCCGTAACGTTCCATGTTTGTCTCCATTACAAGACACAAAAACAAATCCCCATTACATAACTTCACTGCTCAGCCAAAATAATCGCAAAAAGCTCTGTTTATGTTAGTTTTAGTTCTTTTCCCACTCCTTCCGTACAAGTCCCATTTCAACCTTGAAACTCTACTTTCTTCCTACACCCATCAATCAACAAATTTAGTTTTATCTAGTTTAAGTGAGCAAGTTACTAAGATATTACAAGAGGTAAAGAGAGATTTGAGACATTATTACCTCCTCTTTTCCTTTTACCACTGCTTCTCAACTGTCTAGCTTCTGAAACATTCTCCTTCTGTTTCTTGTTTAATTCATTATCATTATCTTCATCTTCTTCATTCCCATCTGAATCTTTGTTTGCATCTTCATTTACCCTAATGATATACACCTGGAACAAGCAACATGTTTCAACATGAATACTAAAGTACTCTCTACTAGTGATATATGTTTCAAGAAATCAAGATCTCTAAGTAAAACTACTCCTTTACCTTAAACATTGTTCGGGTGATAAGTTGAAACACGACAGCATCTCCATCGACTAACTGATGATCGATGGCGAAACCTCTCCAGCCTCCGCTAAGACCGTTCTTCTCAGCAAGGTATTTCACCATAGATTCCTCATCTTCCTCGTCAACCAAAGTCATCATTTCATCACGTTTTGGCATATGTGCCTTGCAAAAAGGAAGTGGCAAGCCCTGTTTACAAAACCATATGAAATCATTGAGTTTACTTACTAGGACTAAGTTTCAGACATCTTTGCATTCACTTACCAACCAAAATCCTCCGGTCACGTGTGATTGGAGCATTGGTTTGGTAAAGCTTGGGAATTCTGGATCTAAGCTTGACTGAAGCTTCTCTGCCCTGTCGAATGCGTACATTCTTGCGTCGTCTGAAGCATATACCCGGTTCAGCAGATCTCTTCTTTGAGAGCTCCTGGAAAGCAAAACACATACAACTTATACTAGAAAGTGAAAACTAAAATCAAATGGTTTTAGCCCGATTATGTTTTGGTATATAGAGTGTGGATTGGTCAACCTTCTTGGCCTCCTCTCCAGTGGTTCTAGCCCAAACTGCGAATACGGATCAAACAACACTGATTATGAGTAATGAGGAACAACTCACGCAAAGTAGGATGTTGATTCAAGATCTAAAATTATGACAACAAGAGCAGATCATCCCAAAAACAAACTAATTATCTATCTATCTCGATTCATGTAAAAGTGAGAAAACCTTGTGATTCGTTTTATCTCACCAAAATCCTTAAAGAAACTCAAGTAAAGAAAAAGAGTAGAAAAGGACCTCTTTGTAACTTGGAGGTGGACCCTTGGCACGGCTTGATCTCCTGACCTCCGAGAAATCCACCGGAATACGCATCGTCCTTGGCTTTGCCTACATTTCCATAAAAAAAAAAATGGTTAATTCCAGTCCAGCAAAAGAAATGAGAAGAAGAAGAGAAAGGAAAAGTTACTGGAGAGGGCTTGGAAGAAGAAGAAGAGACACGAAGAGATTGAGCAAGCTTGTTGAGATTAAGCTCCCCCATTCTCTTCTTGTTCTCTTCCACCCTTTTCAAACGAATCTGCTCATAGCTTAGCTCTGATTCCACCATTTTCGTTGGTTTCTGAAACAGAGAGATAGAGAAAAGAAAGAGACAAAGATCCAAGTCTTGCTTGACTCTTGTTGGGTTTCTTCTTTCACCGCTATGTATGTGTTTATGCTTCTCCAAATTTTTTTATTTTTTTATTTTTTTATTTTATGTAATAAACATCTTAATCATTGTGTCTAATCAAACAAATTGAAATTTCAAATTCTCAACAGTGGAAATTCAGAGTAAGCCTCCATCGTGATACGTGAAGTAGGTATGGGCTTCGTAAAAGACGTTTCTTTTTTTTTTCCCTCCCTAATTAACAATTATTTTGAGATCCCTTTTATATTTTTAACTATTTTAAGAAAATATTTGATTTGACCGGTAACGCCGTAACGCTTTACATTAACAAAAAAAAAAAAAAAGTTTGTTTTATCCACAAACACATTGAAATCAAAGGAATCTACAAGGACAAATCCTTTGGGTTACTAAGGAATAAAGAAACAAACCTGAGACTTTCCTACACCGCTAGGTAAACCAGAACACAGGCTAAATGATCCCATGTTCTACTGTTGATGCTACAACCTTTAGTTAGATAATGAGCTTTTTTCTGAGGGATATTGTCACTTCTGTATTTGAATATCGCTTTGGCAGAATTTCCACGATCCATCTTCTTGCTTCTTCAGCGTATAGCGGATCTTGTAAGTGCTACAGGAAATATACAAACCGCAGCATCAGTGAAGAAGATACAAGCTCAGTCCAAAAGTAAACCAAAAGCAAAATGTTTTTACCTTCAAAAAAAAAAAAAAAAAAAAAATGTTTTTACCTGTAATATTTTGCGTTTTTGGGCTGAGATTCATCAACTAATTCTGCTGCTTCCTCTAGAAGGGCTTCGATTTCTGCAGTCTCACCAGCGATACCATCTTGGAAAATGTGTGCTTGTAGAATCTCTAGATGAAGCAAAACGAATCTCCAATAACAGGATTTAGCTTTTGCTGTTTGTGCCAACGTTTGCCACTGCAAATTTCACGTTACCCCCAAATAAAAAACACATGAGCAGACCCTAAACCAACGTTTATGACTTGAATATATGGATACAACAATGTAGCACCTGATCTGTGTTAGAATATGCAAAACTAAATTGACCGAGTGGCCAAGCGAGTGCTTTCTCACCTATATTCAGCACTCTTTAACCCAGATAAAACCAGGACTCAAAAATGTAACCTAATGTTTCTGAAATGGTTACCCATCCTCTCTCCCTCTTGTATGAAATATAACCATATTTCATTTCGGCAAAAGAATGCAATTTATAAATCTTAATCAAGACCTGGTCGAACTATTGATTCTACTAAACAATGATGTTCAACTGTGTAAACTAACTCAATTAAGCAAAGAAATAGAGTAGATGTACAGAAACAGTAACCTGGACAAGCATGGATTCATCAAGGACTTCGGAAAGGCTATAAACTTGATGTGTTGGTCCAAGAGCTTCAGCCTTAACATTTTCCCACTGTCTCACAAGCTCTTCCGCGTCTTCTGTATCCATTGGTCTTTTATGCAGTTCTGACGCAGAATGAGACAATGATGTAGCTGATTGACCAGAGCTTTTCAGATACAAGGCATCTGGATGTTCGCCATGATCCATCTTTAACATGTCCAAGAGCACTTTGATGTTGCCCACGATACCATTTCTATTCACAGAAGCAAGGTTTTTTCTGAAACTCCCAGACTCGGTTTTCCACAGAAAAGAATCTGATTCCGAATGCGGCTTACCAGAAACCGATATAGGCAGCCTCTGTAGTCTACCAGACCTAATGCCTGTTAGCTTTAGAGAGAAGAACACGGTGCAACCCAGTAAAGCAACAACAGATACCCTTCCGATCAAACTGCTTTGAGAGAGCCACTCATCCCATATTTTATTTTTGTGTACACCAAGGTTCCTCTTCAGTTGAACAGATGGCATACTGGCACCGCTTTCATCATTATTCTTGGCGGATACCACTGGGCTCTGCAAATCTGTTGGTGTCAACTGCTCGACAGCTGTATAAAGATGTTGTGACGAGTTCACGAACTGCGTTGTGGAAAGCGGTCTTTGGTTTGTCTTGTGATTCATGATCGAAGGTGACCCCATTTTCTTGTTTTCTAGATATTTCTTTTCACCCCGAAAAAAATTGGCCTGCAGAAAGTTGTATATATGAATATCTTTCTGCTTAAAAATAGAACTGCTATACAGATCTTCCAGTAGTGATCTGATTCTTACCAATGATGGAGAACAACCCCTTGTGTCTGGAAAGTTAGCAAGCACGGACTCCGTAAGCCACACTTCCTGGTCAATTTTATTAGGTAGTATGTAAGGTCGCTATCAATCTTTTTTGAAAAAAAATCAGAGCTAGCGAAGAGATGTACATACTTGCAAAATTTTCAAATTAAATTTAGTGCATGAACCCAAGGGCTTACTCAAACAAATATTAAGATTTAAGTGTATGTACAACCAACCGAAAAAAAAAGGTTAACAGCAGGCATACACAATGCTGTTAAAGCATATTCTATGAACTTAACTACCATCTACTCAATGTATCTATTTCCATTGTTTCAATTACTGCTTGAAACATAGCTCAACCTCACTCATATTCCACTAAATTTGATCATGCCATTTACATCAGGCATAGCCCTCGCTCTAGTTCTAGCAACAAATGAACACAAATTCTAGATAAAAATCATAAGGTGTACCAGTGATGGAGCAGCAGAAGTACTTCTCGACTCTTTCCCCAGGATCGAATTACGAACGGCAGAGTCTGAATTTGATTCCAGCTGCTTAAGTTTTTCCAGGGCCTCTGCCTCGGAACCCTGTGCTATCCAACATGTAGGTCCAGTAGCACTTAACTAAATGAACAACGCATGGATCTTTCGAAGCAAGTGAACTTGAAGTAAATAAGATGCAAAAGCATAGTTGATAGGGAAAAAGAATAAAGAACGCAAGAGGAAAAATACCTGTTTTAGAAGAAATGAGCAAAAAGCTTCCTCAAATTTCAGATCAACACCTTCTGATGCTATGAGACATTCGCATATTGTTTTTGCTTTATTAATCTACACAAGCATACTGAATGTTATGCTTTATAAGCAGATAGAGTAGAGAAGAAATGGACCAATCAGTTTAAATTTAACAAAAGGAAAGAAAATGAGATATACCGTTTCATTTTGCTTGCCTGAAAATCCAACAGCGATGTGAGCAAGTAACACCATGTAGAAACAATTAAAATCAATTACCACTCTTTGATTGTGGGATTCGAGTGATTTTTTATTTTTCCGTGTAATGGCTAAGTCATCCCATGGAAGAAGATCGACAATCTCTGTGGCCAATAACCTACTGATCGCCTGGCTCAAAAAGCATGGCCAGTCTTGAATTTGACATGAAGCTTCAACACTAAGGCCCTGTCTGAGCAGTTCGCCTAACGCTGCAATTGCACCTCGCCTCCTCTCTGCATTTTCCGGCGTGCGAGGCAGGCCCAGTAGATCCAATGTGCAAGGAGGTGCAAGCTCCTCTAGTGACTCCTCAATCTACAAATTTCAATTTCAATCCCTTAAAACCCAATATGCTCGTAAATTATGCATCTGGAAATACGTACTTATATGTGAAGCTCCTTAACATGATGTGATTTACAGTAAGGCTGCAGTTTTAATGATTCAATCCGGAAACAGAACTAAAAGTAAAGACAAAGAAGCTTTATATATACTAATGCAAGACAGTAGAACCTATTACCTGAGTTAACAATGCAAGTTTCCCAAGAGTAACTTTACTCTTCAGAAAACATTGAGCACGAGCAAGAGCTTCAAATCCTTGAGAGACCTTGTTAGCCTCGAAAGCAGCCTTCGCAATCGCACACTTAATGGAAAAAAAAAAACATATTAGAGATAGAAGAAGCAGAGGACTAGTGAAAGTTACTAAGTAATTCCCATTCCTAGTTCATTTGATTTTTACCTCAGCAAGTGCCATAGATAAAAATATATCATGAATATATGGCTTCGAATCAAGGTTCCTGAGAGCAGCCCGGCCAATATCCAGCACGAGTTTTTCTTGTCCAACCTGAAGCATAGTAGCTCACATCATTGCTTTATCTTCTATCCAAAAAAGGTAATATCACAAAATTAAGATAAAAATCAAATTTCCCCTTAAGTTTCATAGAAGAAAATCAAACCTGCAATTAGAAGAGGAAGGGTGAGATAGAAATGATAAATTAATGCAGAAAGATCAGTACAAAACATTTCAGGGACAAAACGCAAAATAAGCTCAGTAGTAGTACCTCTTGAAGAAGGCAAAGAGCACCAGGCAACCATGCCCACGGAATTCTAAGAGGAGATTTAGGAGCGATCTTTTCTTTCAGGTTACCAGCATATTCTGGTTCAAAAAGAAGTTTATCCCTAACATCCATGAGAAGATCCTGCACATTTAGAATCATTAAGAACAAAGTATCAAGAAACGGAGGCCACATTCCCTGTCCAACTCTAGTGATAAAATGGTCAAATTCTATGGAGCAACTGAAAACAGGATCAAACTCTGTATAGGTCTTAACCTGGCGAGCTACAGCAGCTTCCATTGTATAACCTTCTTCAGCATCAGCTTTTTTCAAATTTATAACCGACTTCACCACCTCGTCTTTCTCAGCTTGATCAGAAACTCCGATAAGCTGCAAATCCAATACCATTAACAGTATCCTGGGATAATGTCTAACAGACAAAACGCTACATTCCTTACATTCACTCTATTGCAGAAATCAACTACTATACAGTATGAAATTGCTAGATTATTTGGCCAAATCAAAACATCCAACTCTTTCTACACGCTAGAGAGACTAAATTCCCACAACTTTGGAGGAAAACATTTCAATTTCAACCAAATTTAGAAGGATAAAAAAACAAGTTCCACTTGCACTTCAGCGAGGAGCAAAGTACCAAATCGCAGAGATCGTATATTCAGAGATTCCGAGAACTAAGGCAGTCGGAGCAAAATACCTGGTAACACGTAACCGGGATTTCGATTGCCGAGGTAGATGCAGCGAGGGAAGAAGTACGAGATGGCGCATTTTCCACGACATGGATACCACCACCACCAGCATTCAGCCTCCTCCGTCCTTCACGCTGAAACCGCCGCAAAGATAAACCAGAACCGAAGATTTCACCGGATTCAGAACGAACGACGAGGAGACCTGAGATCTGAAGCTCCGGGCGATCAACGACGAAGCTGGTGCCGCGATTAGAGATTGCGCAAAGCAGACAAGAAGAAGGGAGAACTGGAAATGTGTAAGCCAGCGGCATTGCGCAACAGCTCCAGAAGACGAACGAACCCTAGAAGAAGAAGTAGAGTGAAGCTAGAATCATGGTATTTACTGGATTTCTTCGGAGGAGAGAAAATCGGAAATTTGGTCTTTAGGCTTTTGACAGTGATTTTGCCTTTCTCTCTTAATGTTTCGGTCTTGTGACGATGATAAGGTAACCCGCTGGCTAAAAGAGAGGCTCTGCTAATTTAGGACGAGACGAGACGTGGTCACGTCACGTGGATAATAAAGAAACTTCTGGAAGATCATTGGGTCGTCTCTGGGCTTTCATTTTTTTTTTAGGCCTAATTTTCGGCCCATAAGTAATGTGCCAAGAAGAATTATCATTTTTACTTTAAGTTCCATAGGATAATAAATAAAAATTCAGATTTATTTTGTTACTTTGGTTTGATAAATTTATATGTAAGAAAATTCTGATAATTCCAAAAAAAAGAAAAGTTGAAAATTACCTGTCTAGTAGTATAACTATGTAAATTGATCAGATACACCAAAATCTTTAAAACAAATTCACCCAAAAAAAGATTTTTAAGATATTTTCTGGTCATTATATTTTTGGAGGATAGCAAATTGCAACACTCAAAACACATTTGGCTATACGAGAACCACGTTTGCTTTCTTGCAAATCAGCACCTCTTTTTTGTTCTTAAGTACTAACTAAATATTCAGAAAAATAAAATTCCAGTTTAGTAAAATAGAGAATATTTTTTCAGAATAATTTTGTGTGTTGTACAAGAAATGGGGGATTCATTTTTTATATTTTACTTTTTTCCTCGACAAGTAAAAACAAAACACACAATGACACAAGGATAAAACCTCTTTTGCCGTTGGGTTTTATTTTAGGACCTTTATTTTACTTCTTTGCAATATCCTTATTTCGTCTCCGTCAGTAGCAGTCTTCGCCGGGAAATATATTTCCGGTAGCGATGCTCCGAACAGTCTCTTGTTTAGCTTCGCGCAGCTCAGCCCCTCTATTCTTTCGCTTCTTTCGTCAGTTCCCTCGCTCTTACATGTCTCTCACATCGTCGACGGCCGCTCTCCGTGTCCCCAGTCGCAATCTTCGCCGGATTTCCTCTCCTTCAGTTGCCGGAAGACGTCTCTTTCTCCGCCGAGGTTTGAGGATTCCCTCCGCCGCAGTTCGTAGTGTCAATGGGCAGTTCTCTCGCCTCTCTGTTCGCGCCGTCGCCACACAACCCGCACCACTTTATCCCGGTGAGGATTTTGCACATATGCTTCTTCTTCGTTTTCTGTTTGAAGTTTGATTGTTAATTGATTTGTTCTCTTAGTTTAGATTTCAGGTTGTTTCTCTTTATTACCAATTTCACACATAATCTTGTCCTTAGAGAACATTTGGAAGTGTCTTCTATGATTTGTGCCACTTGTGAAATTGAGGTTCTTACTTTAGGATAGGTTGTGATTGTGAATTGTAGATAGGTGTGTAGCCTTTTTCTTTTCTTGCTTTGTGTCTATGTTGTAATCAAATGGAGCCATGTGTAACCTCTGCTGATGCGTGATTTTCCTTTTTTGTTATTTGGATTCAGATGTAGGTCAAGATGAGGCTGAGAAGCTTGGATTTGAAAAAGTGTCGGAAGAATTCATCTCAGAGTGTAAATCAAAGGCGATTCTCTTCAAACACAAGAAAACTGGTTGCGAGGTGATGTCTGTGTCAAATGAGGATGAGAACAAGGTCTTCGGCGTTGTTTTCAGGACTCCTCCGTAAGTTTAGTTCGTAATAATGTGACCTGAGTATTTATTAGGTAGGCAATTGAAATTGGTACCTAGCGCTGCACTTCGTGAATTTAACTAATCGAAATGGTCAGATTTATTACTACTCATTAAAGGTCGTTTTTCGGTTTAAACCTAGTCATTTCGTTTCCTCTTCTTGTTTATTAGTACTTGTATGTCTAAGCTTTGGAGGTCAATAACTTATCAGATTGCTTAACGCTTTGTAACAAGTCGATAAGAGCAACTGCACTTTCAGTAGATATTGGCCCCCACATGCACCTCCTTGTCAAAGGGACCTTATGTTAGGGTTTGAAAAACTTATAATGGAAGCAATTTAAAATCATAGTTTCGCTGTTAATGCAGGAAGGATTCCACTGGCATTCCGCACATACTGGAACATAGCGTTCTGTGTGGGTCAAGAAAGTACCCGCTAAAAGAGCCATTTGTTGAACTACTCAAGGGAAGTTTGCATACTTTTCTAAATGCATTCACATATCCAGATAGGACCTGCTACCCAGTTGCTTCCACCAATACAAAGGTACAACGAGCCAAATATAAAGTCCTTCTTTTGTTGTCCTTAGTGAGCTAATCTCTTTCTTTCTGTTACTGTATCTAAATTGAGTCTTTTCCTGACCACATTTCATCACTATCTATGGTAGGATTTTTACAATCTTGTCGATGTATATTTGGATGCTGTCTTCTTCCCCAAGTGTGTGGATGACGTGCACACCTTTCAGCAAGAGGGCTGGCACTATGAGCTTAATGATCCCTCTGAAGACATATCTTACAAAGGTTTTATTTACCTAGGATTCCATTTTAGAGCTCTTTTCCTCACTTTTTGGTGTCTTAGTATCGATAATATCTTTTCGTTTATCAGCTACTTCATATACCCACTCATCCTATCTCATCGTTGATGTTTGATTTCAGGTGTTGTTTTTAATGAGATGAAAGGTGTCTATTCACAGCCTGATAATATTTTAGGGCGAATTGCTCAACAGGCAAGTTTTGGGTTTTGTTTGCTATAGCTGAAAGTTTCTCGTTGTTGGTTTAGTCCAATTTTGGTTTTTGACCTTATTAATCAACTAAATGATGTAGCCATCTGCAATATATACCTATCTTTCTTGAAAAGGCCGTTTGGACACTTGGAACAAATACCTTGTTAGATAATCTGAGACATATTTCCTTGGTATAGTGGTTCTGATGAAATCACCTGCTACTATTTTCACTTTTATTAGGCGTTGTCGCCAGAAAATACATATGGTGTTGACAGTGGAGGTGATCCAAAAGATATCCCTAAGCTGACATTTGAGGAATTCAAGGTTTGTTAAAAGTCAAATTATTATGCTAGTATATTACTGGTATGTGTAACTTCTGGTGCATATTATATATATATATATATTTCTTGGTTTGGGACAATTTTAGGAGTTCCACCGTCAGTATTATCACCCAAGCAATGCCAGGATCTGGTTCTATGGAGATGATGATCCCGTTCACCGCCTTCGTGTCTTGAGTGGTAAAGATTGATATCTCCTTTGTCTTACTAGAAATAATCCTCATATTTTTTGAGTTTGTTTTCTATGTCGATTTTGAAATACATTTTATCCCCACGTTTCTTATATGTGCAGAATACTTGGACATGTTTGAAGCAAGTCCATCTCCCGATAGTTCAAAGATTAAACCTCAAAAGTTATTCTCTAAGCCTGTCAGACTGGTTGAGAAATATCCTGCTGGTCGAGATGGTGACCTTAAAAAGAAGCACATGTTGTGCGTTAACTGGCTATTGTCTGAGAAGCCCTTGGACTTGCAAACTCAGCTTGCACTTGGCTTCTTGGATCATCTTATGCTGGGGACTCCTGCTTCACCACTAAGAAAAATCTTATTGGAAAGCGGTTTAGGAGAAGCTCTTGTCAGTAGTGGGTTGTCAGACGAACTATTGCAACCCCAGTTCAGTATTGGTTTGAAAGGTGTGTCCGAAGATAATGTTCAAAAGGTTGAAGAGTTGATCATGGATACTCTGAAAAAGTTGGCAGAAGAAGGGTTTGACAATGATGCTGTGGAGGCATCCATGAATACAATTGAGTTTTCTCTGAGGGAAAACAACACAGGATCTTTCCCTCGTGGTTTATCACTTATGCTCCAATCTATTGTAAGTTAATATGCCTTTTATGCTTACGTGTCTGTCTATTCAGGTATCACTCCTTATTTGATTATTGTTGTTTAGGCAAAATGGATATACGATATGGATCCTTTTGAGCCATTAAAGTATACGGAACCATTGAAGGCCCTGAAAACCAGAATAGCTGAGGAGGGATCCAAGGCCGTCTTTTCCCCACTGATAGAGAAGTTTATCTTGAACAACTCGCATCGTGTTACCATAGAGATGCAGGTGATCTTCTTTTACAAGTTTCTCGTTGCTATGTAATGTTTCTTTACTTTTGTGCTAAACACTGTTTTGCCAGCCTGATCCCGAAAAAGCTACTCAAGAGGAAGTGGAAGAGAAAAATATCCTGGAAAAAGTTAAAGCAGCTATGACAGAAGAAGATCTTGCAGAGCTAGCACGTGCCACAGAGGAGCTAAAATTGAAACAAGAAACTCCTGACCCTCCTGAAGCATTGAGATGTGTTCCAAGTTTGAACTTGGGTGACATTCCAAAAGAACCTACTTATGTTCCCACCGAGGTAATCGTTTTGCTAGCCCGTGCTTTTGTTGTATTTCCTTATTTTCCGAGCTTGCTAATTTTACTGATATGAACTTTTAAACAATAGGTTGGAGATATTAATGGTGTGAAGGTTTTGCGGCATGACCTTTTCACCAATGATATTATCTACGCTGAAGTAGTCTTTGATATTGGTTCCCTGAAACATGAGCTTCTTCCACTAGTACCACTTTTCTGGTATGGTTTAAGCTTTCTTATGATTTCCTTATGAGCTTCTTACCAAGTTTTTCCAGAAATGTGCATGGTCGGAGTGCTAATTGAAGAATGTTGTTAGATTCTCTGCCATGCATTTTCAAAAGCATGGGAAATTTTTTATATTTTAGGGAGTACGTTGACAGCTGTAAATAACAAATGTTTTGCTTCATACTATATTGATATATTAACTCTGATAATATTATTTTTTTGACAGTCAATCATTACTGGAGATGGGCACAAAAGATTTGACTTTTGTTCAACTTAATCAGTTGATTGGAAGGAAAACGGGAGGGATATCAGTTTATCCCCTTACATCATCAGTTAGGGGTAAGGATGAACCATGCAGCAAAATTATCGTACGCGGAAAATCCATGGCTGGGCGTGCTGACGACCTTTTTAACCTGGTACTTTGTCATTTAAAATCCCTTGCTTTAGCTTATCGCATTTTCTCTAGATTTATGTACATTGGCTTATGGGATATATAGTGCTGTCTACCTGATCGATCATGTTATCTTCGGTCTCCAAGTGATATAGTGCAGCTGTTAATTTCTGCTGCATGGCCCTGTAGTTAGTTTGCTAAATGTAGTTTACCAATTTACTTGTCTCTGGATTTGTGTATGTTAGGTTATGGGATGTGTAGAGCTGTCTACCTGATAGATTTTTCTTCTTCTTGGGTCTCCATGAGATACAGTGCAGCTGTCAATGTGTAGATCTTTATTTTTTCCTGTTTTTCCAAAATACTAAAGCGCCGCCTCTCTCGCCCTTGTCTCTTTCTTCTCTAAGAAATACTTGATGTTTTCTCTATGACTACTGGATTATGGTAACAGCCATTCTCACTGGAAACCTGGTTTTGTCTGTTAAGATATAATGTAACCTTGATATAGAAACAGATAGTAGCGAATGGTGATGGAAGAACTTTGCAAAATTTTCAGTGCCTTTCATGAATCAGAACCATGATCCAACTAGACATTTATTTCAATCCCATATTCTATTTTATTTCTGTCGAAATTATAGGTTGGCTCTTATCTTCATTGCTTTTTATCTTGCTGCAGATGAATTGCTTGTTGCAAGAGGTTCAATTTACAGATCAGCAGAGGTTTAAACAGTTTGTCTCTCAAAGCAGAGCACGGATGGAGGTATGTAGTAGGGTTTATCTTTCTGTCTTTGCATGATAAGTGGAACTTGAAAGTAGTAGTATAAACATCACTTCACATTCTATGCAGAACCGATTGAGGGGAAGTGGTCATGGAATTGCTGCGGCGAGGATGGATGCAATGTTGAACATTGCTGGATGGATGTCTGAACAGATGGGTGGTCTCAGGTTGGAATTTGATTATTCTTTGTTTGACTTTTAATTTAGCCCTTGTTTTTGTTTTATTTACCCCTTGTTTATATCATCTTCTCTCTCTGGTGTTGATCTTTGTTGAGAATGAACTTTATTCACATTTTAGAGTTTATTTCTACTATTCTTTTGAGACTTGAAGAACCTAACAAAGTTGAGAATCTCTCTTTTGTAGCTATCTTGAATTTTTACATACTCTTGAAAAGAAAGTGGATGAAGACTGGGAAGGAATTTCATCCTCACTTGAGGAGATCAGAAGATCTCTCCTTGCCAGGAATGGTTGCATAGTTAACATGACTGCTGATGGGAAGTCTCTCACCAACGTCGAAAAATCTGTTGCGAAATTTCTAGATTTACTCCCTGAGAAGCCCTCCGGTGGGCTGGTCACTTGGGATGGTCGACTTCCTCTCAGAAATGAAGCTATTGTGATACCAACCCAGGTAAAAAAGGAAGATCGGTTTATATAGAATGTGGTTGGGTTTAGGGTTTTCAATATAGTAAACTCGCATTCAAACTCTCTTTGCAGGTAAACTATGTTGGAAAAGCAGGTAACATATACAGCACCGGATATGAGCTTGATGGCAGTGCATATGTTATATCAAAGCATATAAGCAATACATGGTTATGGGATCGTGTTCGTGTAAGCGGTGGTGCATATGGAGGTTTCTGTGACTTCGATTCGCATTCAGGTACAATACTGCTTTCTACTTTCTTGAATATGAAAAGAATTGTGAAACTAAATTTATTCTTCTCTTGATATCTTTGTTCAGGAGTATTTTCTTACTTATCTTACCGGGATCCAAACTTGTTGAAGACACTTGACATATATGATGGAACTGGAGATTTCTTACGTGGCCTTGATGTGGATCAAGAAACACTCACTAAAGCTATTATAGGCACCATCGGTGATGTTGATTCATACCAATTACCTGATGCCAAAGGTTATAGCAGGTAAATGATTTTATTTTATTTTAATTTCATTTTGTCTGTCTATTTGAACAAACATAACGGATCCTGAATCAAAATTGTTGAATCTCTTTCACCCAGTTTGTTGAGGCATTTACTCGGAGTAACTGACGAAGAACGGCAAAGAAAGCGTGAAGAGATATTAACAACAAGGTTGGTTAAATCAAGGACATTCTCTCAATAAGTTTTCTTTTGCATTCTAATTAAAAGTGTTAATTCACTTTTGTTGCTCCACAGTTTGAAGGACTTCAAGGATTTCGCAGAAGCAATAGATGTGGTTAGAGATAAAGGTGTTGCGGTGGCTGTGGCATCCGCAGAAGACATTGATGCAGCAAACAATGAACGCTCCAACTTTTTCGAGGTGAAGAAAGCTCTCTAAAGGGATTGGACAACTTTCACAATAATATTTACGATTGAGAATCTCATTAGATTTCTCTTGGTTTCTTTTCTACTAGAGTCATCAATGTCTTCTCAAAGCTATTATTAAATGTCCAAATATTAAGAATTTTCACAGTAAATGTCCAACCTAAAACTGTTTTACTCATTTTCTTCCATATTAAAATTGGCTTTTTGTCATTTTTAATTTATAAAAAAAATTGGTAAAAAAAAAAGCCAACTGAAAAACAAAATATTTATGAAAACTAAGTCGGCGAAAAATGTGGAAATCTCCGGAGACAATGGCCAACAAAAGGAGATCATCGTAGAAAAACTAAAAAAATTCTATGAAAAAAAAAAGAAAGCCAAAGCTTCTAAAGCTTCATTGGATCTATTTCAATGAGTTAGAAATTCTTTTTGTATTGTAAAGATTCTAAAGCACTTGCCAATCAGACTTTACATTTTCATCGCACAATACAAAAATATTATGTAGTAACTACAATTGGTATATGACATAATATTTTGGAAACATATAAAACTAGGAAAATGGAAATGGAGAAAAGGAAAAGAAAAAAATATATACACTTGTCTAGAAACGTTCATATGCAATATATGTTACCACTAAAGAATGAAAAAAGTATGTATATAGGGAATATATTGTTTTCAGCTTTGTAACCCTAATACCGACAAAGTCATTACACCTTGGAGGAAGCATCATCGAGCTTTGAAGATCAACTCTTACTTCCTAAGATCCCGATCGATATAGAAGAGAATAGAGGTACAGTAAAAAAAAATTACAAATTAATATTCCCGTTGTTTCAAAATATAAGATGTTTTGAAGTATTATTTTTGTTTCAAAAGATAAGACGTTTTCAAATTTATATGCAAATTATATATTAATTTAATATTTTTGATTATTTATATTATGCAGTCTCATTTATAATTGGTTGAACTTTTTAAAAGTGGATGTTTCTTAATCTGCGTGATTTTAACTAAAATGTCTTATATTTTGAACAGAGGGAGTATATATTATAAAATAATAATTTTTTTGGTCTCAAGTCGGATTATTATCAAAATGAACAATTTCGATAAGATAATAATTATTTTAAGAATCTATATATAATGTCATTCATAGCATAAATTTAAAAAATATGTAATTTATGTAGTTGATATATATATATATATATAGATAATATATTAATGTTTATAAATTTTTATAAATTAATAAACACTATAAAATAATAAATTTTTTGGTCTCAAGTCGGATTAGTGTCAAAATGACCAAATTCGATATAATTATTATTATTTTAAGAATCTATAGATAAATATACAATGTCACATACTCACATAACTTAAATTAATAATCATGTAATTTATTTAGATTACACACCCATATAAATATATATATATATAAGATAATATATTAATATTTATAAAATCTTTATAAATTAATAAATACCATAAAATAATAAATTTTATGGTCTCAAGTCGGATTAGTGTCAAAATGAACAAAATTCGATAAGATAATAATTATTTTAAGAATGTATATATAAATATATAATTTCATTCATAACATAAATTAATAATCATGTAATTGATGTAATTTACATATATATATATATATATATATATATATATATATATATATAGATAATATATTAATGTAAGCTTTCAGTTACTTTATTAAATAGATTTTATTAGAGCCCACCACTAACTTTATTATATAAAAAATATCATGTTGTGTCTTTAAACTATCTTATTGTAGTATCGTCTATAAAGTTTTCATAAAAATAGCCAAAATTTTCTGTAAGTTTTTTAATTTTTTGAATATGCATCATTTTCATTTTGATAGTGTATTATAAAATGATAAAACACAACAATTGAGGTTTGTTAATACACTATCATTTTCATTTTGATAGTGTATTATGTATATCGTTTGTATAAGTGAATTCATGTATAGTCTTTGTTATTTATTGTAACATAATTTGCTTTTTTCTTCTAAATAATTAAATTTTAAGTTCAAAACTACAAAAACTATAACATCCAAAACATTAATTTTATTTAGATTAAATTGTTCTAACTCATATTTATTAAAAATAACAACAATTAAAACAAAATTCTTTATATATCAATAAATATTCATTTATAGACAAATTAATCTCTTTATAAACTAATAAAATATTATGATCCCAACATTATTAATTTATAGAGATTTTACTATATACTTCTTCAATTGTGTTAGTTTACAAATATGCATGCATGAGCTATCTAATTTACCTTTGACTATAAATTTTCATAAGGCAGTGGAGAATAAGAAAACGTACGATTAATTAGTACAATGTTTTTTTTTCTTTTGTTTCTTTTTCTGCTAAGAATGTATGTAAGGACAATGTTGAAAGCTTGAATGGTAACAAATCAATATGCATGCATGATAGATCACAAAATCAATGTTAACCCATTAGTCACCAACACCAATAAAGCAACAAATTCCACCAGTATTACATATCTAATCAAGCATATACAGACACTTATATAAATACCGTATGATATGTCCTTTGACTTATCAAACATCCTTTTGTTTTGTTTTGTTAAGGGTTTATACTGTCAAGTTTATGAGCTGATCTAAGAGAGATTGTAAACAGCACATTTGTCTCTTTGGTTAACTATGCAAAATCTTACTTCCACATTCGTGTCTCGTTCCATAGTCCCGATCACTTCTCCGCGACTGCGACTGCCACCACCACGATCAGTAGTTCCCATGACTACCGTTTGCATGGAACAATCATCCAAGCAAAAAGTGGTTGTGATCATGGGAGCCACGGGATCAGGCAAGTCACGTCTCTCAATCGATCTAGCAACCCGTTTCTCTGGAGAGGTCGTCAATTCTGACAAAATTCAATTCTACAATGGATTGAAGGTCACTACTAATCAAATGAGCATCCCTGAGAGATGTGGAGTCCCTCACCATCTCCTTGGTGAGCTCCCTCCGGATGACAGCGAACTAACTACCTCCGAATTCCGCTCTTTGGCGTCGCGGTCCATCTCCGAGATTACTGCTCGTGGAAATCTCCCGATTGTAGCTGGCGGATCAAACTCCTTTATTCATGCTCTCCTTGTCGACCGTTTCGACCCCCAAACCTATCCATTCTCTTCCGAGGTCTCCATCTCTTCCAACTTGAGGTATGATATGTATTATATATATATAGTTTGTTTCTACAAAACGAATTCAAAATTTTATATGTCTTCCAAAGATATTCAAAACATTTCAAGGCATCTTAGTGTACACTTTCACATTGTAAATGTCAAAAATATTTAAAAACATACCAAATGTTTTATATCTAAATCTCATTAATTTGTCCTTTACGCTTTTGGTTGTGTAAAAGGTACGAGTGTTGCTTCCTTTGGGTGGATGTCTCAGTCTCGGTCCTGTTCGAGTACCTCTCAAAACGTGTCGACCAGATGATGGAGTCAGGGATGTTCGAGGAGCTCGCTGGTTTCTACAACCCGAGATATTCCGGGTCCACGATCCGAACCCACGGGATTCACAAGACCATAGGAATACCCGAGTTTGACCGGTACTTCAGCTTATACCCACCGGAGAATAACCACAAGATGCCCGAATGGGACCAAGCAAGAAAGGCGGCATACGAGGAAGCTGTGCAAGAGATCAAAGAGAACACATGGCGTCTTGCAAAGAAGCAGATTGAGAGGATCGTGAAGCTGAAAAGCAGCGGATGGGACATTCAGAGGTTGGACGCTACGCCGTCATTCAGAAGATCGTCGAGAGAGATTTGGGACAAGACTGTTTTGGATGAAAGCGTCAAGGTTGTGAAACGCTTCTTGGTGAAAGACAAAGTGGGAGTTATTTGTTAGTGGATTTTAATTGATTTGAAAATCTAATCACAATTATGTGTTATGAAATCATTTAATTCTGTTTTTATTTTATTCGATGTTTAAGGGTTTTGCACCCCGATTATGAAATCATTTAATTTTGTTTGTTTTTAAGCTAAAACATCAGTTATATCTACCTAAACACGGTTCAAACCCAGAATAAAACACATAATATAAATCGTCAAAATCAATAGAAAACTAATTAGTTTTGTTGAAAATTATGAATATCAACTAATTCAAAACAATGTTTTTTTCCTAAAACATCAAATAAAAAAATAGGGAGTATATTGGATTATGGATTTAAAAAGTTTTTTTTATCAAAATCACGTGTTATAATATTTTTTAAATACGAGTTGAAATTTGGTATTATTCGTTTAATAATCTTTTGTTAGATTTTATTTCACATTGAATTTAACAAATTTGGAATTGTTTTATGTAGAGAAACAAAAGCTCAAGTCCGAGGAAAAACCTTATTATTTTAAAATCTACTTGCTTGATGATGTAAAACGTACATGTATATGATTTTAAAATCAATGGAGATTTCCAAATCCTACGTACGATCTGTAAACCAATAACATCTCCAAGCCTTTATTTTCTATTTTTCCGCCATTTTTATTTTTCCAGTTTATGATACAAACAAGACTAGAGAGATTTTCTTTTTAATTAACAAACTATATAGATGAACACTCCAGCACATATTGGCATTGTTGAGTATGATCTTTGTCATTAATTTTAATTTGTAGCTTTATTAAGGACAAAGCTACCATAAAAACGTCAATTAACTGTTTTTCTTGTCGTTATATAAGTATAATTAACGTGCAGCTGGAGTGTTCATATTTTTCATTAATTAATCTCTTGAACATGCAATATTCGGATTTGAAATAACATAGTGGTAACATTAACATAAACTACTAATTTAAGATATATATGTCATAGTCACTCAGGATATTATTTATACAGTTTAGGAATATCATGTCCCAGTCTAAAGCTTGTTTTCTCTTATGTACAATTTCATGTGATATTCCAAATTTCCAAGTAGTTGGTAGTTTCGCAGTTTCTTACTAAATTGCTCGAAGAAGGATACTATAGTTCCGACTGTTATATAAACTGTGGCCATTGTGAAATACACATGGATAGGCTTAGTCACCTTTTAATATAATTTGATCATAAATACGAAACTGTAGAGTGATCGACCTGTTTGGCTTCTTTTTTTTCCTTATTAAAAGTCATGTTCGAACTTGGTAATATATGATAAGTGACAACAGAGAGAACCAGGTTCATTTAATTTTATATTCAGATATGAACCAGAGCTGTGGATTTATGATCACAGACATAAAATGAGTTGCCGTGTGTGTATCTTCAGTCAGTGGTCCTTTTGTCTAAGTAGCTCTTAACAAAAAACTAGAACAACAAATAATATATTAGAAAGAAAAGAAAAAGATGGATTGTTTTAAAAGAATTGCCAAAGGCATGAAAAGGAAGAAACATATAAGTAAAGATAAATGTAAGATGAGACGGTTACACAGATCCCGACCCCAACTAAAAAGTGTATTTTTACATTGTTTGACATTTTCTTTTTCATCTGTTAGAAAACTCCAGCTCCTCTGTTGACCCTTTTTCTTTTATGGCAATCAGGTGACCAACAAACAGAATTCTCAAGGACCAAGATTCATGTAACTTCGTTATGCATGGTCATGTATGTGTAAGATATATTGTAGAGATTCATAGGGTTTAATCCGGTATTTTTTTTTGTCGAATTTGTATTTTTTTTGTTCGTGGAAAGATCTTTTAAATAAATATATAGTTAGTGTATTATTTCGATAGGATATAATCCATTTTTTTCAATAACGTGTATTTTATCGAATTTGAATTCGGATCGTGACATAGCGGCAATATTAATGCAACATACTAATATACTATGTAACAAGTACTAGTTATAATCACTTTTCCTTCCTTTTCTATCTAATCTTGCAAACAATATTTTCTTTGCAGAAAATATCTAAATTTTGATAAAGAGTCATCTAAATAGTAAAAATTACCTTAACATTAAAATTAATATAACATAAAATTCAACTTATTATTTGTTACATTCAACTAATTAACAATGTAACAAAAACATGCAGTTATTTATTTGTACCGTACGTTTACGATATTTCATACAAATAATAAATGGATAAATATCCAAAACCGAGAAAGTTTGAAAAATGAAAGGCGAAAGTTTTATTGAAAGGATCTATTACTTTTTTATAAGCTTATTACGACCATATCCAGGACTATGATCATATGAATTACATGGTCACTGAATATATTATTTTAATTATAATCATTCCTCTTGATTTGTCTGCAAATATCCTAAATAAATGCATTGGTCAGCGAATTCGTTGTTGCATACTTGCATTAGTCACTTAATCGTTACTCGATGATTCCTTTTATTACGAAAAATTTATTGAAAATGGTCCCATTTAATTTATTGGAAGAATAAAGAAGTAGTATATGTATCAATTATACATAGTATATGATTAAATTTGTAAACCGTTTGGCCATTTATATATTTGCTCTTTAATACGAGAATTGAGTTTAATATAGTATAGTTTACAATTGGTTTTAGCTGTACGGACAATTTTAGTTGAGCTTTAATGGCTCAATATATGGTTTTAACACTTGTACATGATTTCATATTACATGTCATTAAAATGACATATAGGACAAAATATATTGTTGATGTGTATTTGAGTGGAAGAAAATTACACATGCATGGACTTTCAAAAATCTAAAATTTGGAAATATTGATAAAATAACTACACATAAAACAAGAGCTTAGACTTTATATGAGTTAGTCTATATGACATAATTGATGTTTCTACTAAACAAACCCCAAATTGCTATTCCCTTTTCCAGATTCAAGCATTATTTGATCCGTCACTAATTTCATGGTTTTATATGAAGATTTGGTGATGATATGAACTAAAAGTTTCTTTATATATATATATATCATGTACCCAAAAGTTGTATCATTGGTTTATAACTAACTGAAGATTTAGGCTCTTACAGGACTGTTAACAAAAATTATAGTATTATTTTAAATGTAAATGATCGTGGCGCTAGAAATGTACTCCGACAAGCATATATTGTTAAATCTATGTATCTTCTGTTATAGGCATCTTTAATTTATTGTTCCGACCACCAAATTTTTTCTCTATTTCATAAATTCGTTAAACGATGTGTCTTCTTTTGTTATAGTATCTTCATTTGAAATACTGTTAGGCACCACAATTTTTTTTTTTTTTTAACGTTTTTTTTTTTTTGGTAAAAAGGCTCATAAAATAAAAATATTTGGTAGAAACTAAAGTATTTTTCGAAAAAAATAAATAAAATAGGGCCCAAACAATTAAATTTGAATGTAATAATATTCAAAATATCATTATTTTTGTATAATTTACTAAAAATAGGTCAAAAAAAAAAAATTTAGCCCTAAAACTTATAAATATATTGAGCCTCATTTTATTTTTCGTGTATGGGCTCACAAATGCTCGGACCGGCACTGTTAACGGTGGGTTGTTAGACAAATCTTAACTCAATCTTATAATTAAAATAAATGAGAAAATATGTTTTAAACTAAGAAACGTTCCTTAGTTAAGAGCTAAAATTAAGCTTAAGAGGCGTCCACGTGTCGGATTATGAGTGGGTAGTCTTTCTTTCTTGCTCTCTCTCTCTTCGCGAAAACAGAGAAACGATCTTTGTTTGATTCAAATTTCTCCCATTTCATCTGTGTTGTTATGCATTCATATCGGATTTATTTGGTTTTCTTTGTGTATCAGATCTTAATTTTAATTTTGATTGTGGAAAACCCTAATTTTCGTAAAATGGCGATTTATATGCAGAGGAAGATGCGAAGAACTCCAAGTTCGTCCAGCAACACAGAAGGTAACACCAAAATTGAATGAAAATTGCATGTTTTAATTTGAAATTTCTTGGTTTTGGTAGATGATTTGATCTTAGAGCATTTTAGGATCGATGTAGTAAAATGGCCTTTGAGGTTTCTTGGGATGTTATCAATGGATGATTATTAGTATTAAGGTAGTATTATGCCACAAATCCCAAATCAAATTAAAAATTTTGGAGAATCGTCGTGAATTTGTTTTTTGATTTTTTCATAGTGAGAAATGTAAGTCTTACCTCTAGAAATGTCTGTCTATTTGGTTCATTGGCGAGTATGTAAAAAGCCTTTTGATTTTCTTTCGTTGTTCTTGCGTGTTTGATTTCTAGTAATCCTTTGGTTCCTACTATCAACTAACCATTTACTTTCGAAATGCTAATCTCTGCTAGAGAGTTTGTCTTTCATATTTAGGTAGCCTTTAGTTTTTCTTTTAGGTTGTGGCATAATTAGCTTTGGGTTTTAACTTTGATGATCAACTACATTGCAATGTTGTACATAGTTTCTTGTCAATCTCTTTGTATCTGTTATTCATTCTATAGAAACAAGCCACAAGATAAGATGAAAGACATGTTCGGATTTTGAGCTGTGTGTAACGTCTAGGGGCGAGTGGCTTCGCCAAAATTGTTTACCTCATTCAAGATTTGAAAAAATGGAGTCTTTGTAGCAGCAAAAGCTATGGCAAGAAAGTATTGTTTTTTCCTTCTTTAATATAAAAGCTTGTTCTTTTGCTACTTCATGAAATTATATCATCAAGAAAGTAAATTGAGGACGTAGTTATAATATCAATCTTCAAAATCTATTCAATTAAGAAATCACAAGAACTTGGGTTTCACTACAACAAAAACATTTGTTTATGCAACTCAAAAGGAGTGTAGTTACAAAAACATTTTTTTTTCTCTCTAAGAACCTATCAATGGAGACAAATAAAGTTTTAAACCAATTAACAACCTCTTAAGTAAAAAAATTCAAAATTAATATTAAAAATATTCCTAAGATTTACGCTAAGAGCTTACCAATAAGGGTGCTCTTAGGAACTTTGTATAGCTTGTCTAATTGCATATGATATTCGACCATTTAAGCAAAAAAATTGTTCGATATATATATTTTTTGTGTATCCTCTGTAAGTTTATGCAGGGCCGGCTCAATTAATTTTGAGTCCCGGTACAAATCTTAAAAATTGGCCCTTTTTCATACCAAAAAAAAAAAAATTGGGCCTTTTTCATGTTAAAAAAACTTAAAAATTAACCACTTTTATAATAAAGATATCTTAAAGTTTTAAAAATTATATTTTTTTCTGTACGGAAAAAAAAAATTTGAACCCTTAAATTTACCCAAAAAAATTGAACCCGGAACAATTGCTCCACTTGCACACCCCAAACGGCCGCACTGAGTTTATGAACTAATATACATTAACCGTACGAGATAGTTTTAACAATAAAAGAGTTCAAGTCTATGTTCTGGCAGTTTACATATCCATCTCACAAAACCATGATAAAACGCGTACAATGGAAGGGATCAAGCTAATTTGATATATCTCTATTGACACCTCAACCATTCATATATGCCCTCGATATATGTCACATCATTAATGGTTTGATTAAATCTCATAAAATATAAAATCCAATTACAAAAAAGAACAAAAACCTTTTTCGATGGTTCTCTCATAATGGGAGCCTCATCGACCCTGACCAAATAAGACTTGGTCCTAAATAAATTTAATAAATAGAGTTGTTGTATTTACTCATACAGTACTTAAAATCGTTTAAAGAAAATTAATGATTTATTGTTACGTTTCTACTACGTCATAAGACTCATAACTAACGAAAATGGTTGCGTTTTCAATTGCTTTGAAAGGAAGCCAAAAAACGGCAGAAAGGAGAGAAAACGCGTTTGGAATCCCCAACGGCGTTTATGAAGAGAAAAAGCGAAACTTCGTAACGGCGCCGTTATATACCATAACCTCCGTCCGCTCGCGAAGGAAATAAAATCTCATCCGTTGAAATAATCAACGGTCGTGATGATTCATTCCTTTCATCTTCTCTCTCCTTCCCCACCAAAATCTCCTCTGCTTTGTTAAGAAGCGAACCAGAAATAGAAAGAAATAAGCAGAGAGAGAGAGAGAGAGAGAGCACACAAAAATCCAAGAGAGAAAAAAAAAGATGACCGAGAGAAAGCGAGAGCTTGAAGAAGAAGCTACAAGCACAAGCGTCTTACCTCTCAACAAAAAGACGAAGCTTAATGATTCTGATTCATCACCGGACTCTCATGACGTCATCGTCTTCGCGGCTTCTTCTTCTTCCGTTGCTTCGTCGGCGGCTTTAGCTTCAGATGAATGTTCCGTTACTACCGCCAAAGAAGAAAACGATCAGTGCTCGAGTATCAGCTCCGGTTTTTTCACCAGAATCGCGAAGAACAGTTCGTCGTTTGGTGTAGATCTGGAGGTGAAATTTTCAAAATCCAAAAACTCGTCTCTACTACTTGAATCGATTTAATCAGACGATTTTTGGAGAAAAAAACAATCAATGAATCAATTTTTTCCTCTGTTTCTTTGACAAATTCGTTCCTCCATTGATTTTATTTCCGTTTCTGTGTTTTTTCAGACTCATGAAATCAAAACCGAAACCGAAACCTCAACATTCATCAACAACAAATTCAGGTTCATAATCTTTTTTTTGTCTTCTCCAAATTAGATAGTTTTTTAGCTCAAACGTTTAATTAAATCGTTTTTTTCTCCTTATTCTTCTCCAATTGTTGATCTCTGCGTTTTTTTTTTCCTCTGTTTCTGATTTTTTTAATGGCAGAAAAGAGACAAGTCCAGTGAGCGAAGGTTTGGGAGAAACAACAACAGAAATGGAATCATCGTCGGCGACGGAGAGAAAACAACCGAAAGTGAGCAAGACTCCAACGCCGACGGAGATTGAGGATTTCTTATCGGAGCTAGAGAACGATAATAAGAAGCGATTCATAGAAAAGTGAGTCCATTTTCTACTTCCTTTTAAAATTTCCTCTCACGTCACGTGTGTTTGTGTGTGCTCTTTGCTTTTGGGGTTTGGGGAAATTTTCAGTCCGTACATAGTGAGAGAGAGAGGAATGTAATGTCTGCGTGCGCATGATAAAAAGATTAACCGACGCGTAGTTTAGCAAATATCCTAAAAGAGAGAGAGAGAGAGAAAATCAGAATCCTAACGAACACACACTTTGGACACAGGTACAACTTCGATATTGTCAATGACGAACCGCTTGAAGGTCGCTACAAGTGGGATCGACTTTAAGCCATGAAAAAAGCAAAATACCATTCAAGAAGAAGAAGAAAAAAAATAGGTTTTTTTTTTTGTCGTTAACATTCCACTTGTACAGCTCTAATCTCTCTTTTTTCGTACAAAAATACAACCTTTATAATGAAATTTCGGATCTTGATTAGTACTTACTGTGATTTCGTGGGTTTGTTATGTTTCTGTAGTTCTGTTTAAGATTAAAAATGGTTAAGGCAGAAGACTGAGGTTTTGAGTGCATGAAAATAGAAAGGTGCTTTTCTTGTTTGGATTCTTAAAAACATTGGATGCTTAATTATTACAATTATTTTATCTTTACTCAAATTATTATTTTTTTGTTTGTCTCTTGTCATCCTTATTCTTACATTTGCAGTTATGTTATATTTAAATGTTTCATGTCATAGTACCCAATTTACAAATATATCTGAAACAAAAAAATTGATGTTTTTATAAAAGAAATTGGAGAAAAGAGGAAAGGCACCATGACATGACGGTACAGTTGGTTTGTACTTCTCTAAAAACTGCCATCCTACTAACATTTGTGATATTATTTTTTCGTTAATAGTCTTTTATTTTTTTCGGAATATTCCTCTATTTTTTTTTGTTTTTGTTTTGGATCCGTTCCTGGCACTAAACACTTGGTCCACCACTAGTAAAACCATTTTGGCCTTCATTAGATCAAACCAAAAAGCGGCATCTATGGAGTAATTTATCCAAATGAAGTGGTACTGTAACAAAATATCATCAATGAGTGATTTCCAAACTACAGTATATCAAAAACGATTAAATAGGAATATCTACGTCGATTAGCTTTTTGGTAAGGCATTAAAAAGGGTAAATCTCATCATTGCATGGTTCCGTTTGGATTATATTCCTCCTTTGAGAGCTTTTTTTTATTACCATGTCTTACATAGCAGACACAGCCACGTGCATCTGTTTTCACATTTATTTTTATTTTTGTTTTATCTTCTTTTTTATTTGTTTAATTATAATTTACAAGCTCGAGTAACAATTAAATAGAGATGTTGAAAAACATTGAAAACGAGAGAAACTACAAAAATATTAAGGATAAACAAAACAGGAAAGTAATCTTTAAAAGAAAGAGAGAAAAAAACGAATTTATTGTTGCCGTATCTTTGGGCCTTGGGCCTTGGGCGCTCTATCTATTCCAGACCCAATATTGTGTAATCTTTCGAGTTGTGGATTATTAAATAGATGGGTTTGGTTATATTGTTCTACTCTTCTTTTTTTTTCTTTTTTTTTTTGTTTTTTATTGTTCTTCTTCATTCCTATAAGGGTTTTTAATTTGAGAGATTGATATTGCAAAGGTTTTTAAGATGAACGAAGATGTTCTCGAAGCTCTAGGATGTCTCGTCTTCTTCGCGATTCTGACTGTGTTTTATTGTGTATTTCGTTGTTGTCTTGCTTATTGCGACAACGGTGATGATGATGATCATCCAAATCATCCCGGTCATAGTTTACATGTAATAAAAGCTGCTGGGATAGGCCTTTCCGTTCTCCAATCGATCCCCGTCTTATCTTTCAACGCTCATGACTTTAAAGATAACGTCGAATGCGTCGTTTGTCTATCGAAGCTCGTTGTAATCGATCACTGCTTTCACGTTGATTGTATCGACACATGGCTTCAATCCTCCAAGTACAAACGCTAATTCCGGTGAAGCATACGAAGATATGACGGCGGTTGTGTAGACATGCAGGTGGAACCTGTTAGAGCATAGGCATTGGTAAAAGTGGGTGGGTGTGTGTTAGTGGGGTTTTATTAATAAAATAATATAAGAGAGAGAAAGTGAGAAACCAAACCGTCCCACATCCGAGTGTAACTCTACACGCGGGTTTCGTTTCTAAGACAACTTTTTCATTATTTTCCTTTTCTTTTATTACTTACATCCGATACAAAGTTACACCACTGTGTATGCTCTTATAAAAAATATGGGCTTGTCAAAACCTTAGTGATAAGTATAAGTAGGGCTGGGCAAAATATCCGTTAGATTCGCTTCGATCCGTTATTCGAATCGATTCGATTTGAAAAATTCGGATATCCGTAACTTTACGAAGCAAATCAAATATTAAAAATAGGCATTCGTCAAAAGCGAAGAAAATATCAAATACTATAATTTATATAGACGGATATCCGCTCCGCTCCGGAATACATACATATATATAGATAATTACATGTATAAATTATAATTTTATTATTCTTGTATGTATTTTATAATTTTTTAATCACCGAATTAATTATTTAAACTACTAGTTTGAACAATTAAGGAGAAATATATATTTCTGATAAAATATTACTATTTTTAATAATATTTTACTATTTTTGGATTAATTTTGTTATTTATTTATTTATTTTTAAACAAATATTTAACGAATCGAATATCCGGCAAATAGTTTGGATTGGAACGGATATTCGAACAGCCGGATATCCGGTCACTAACGAAGCAAATACGAATCAGAAAACTTAGTATTCGGAAAAGGCAAATCGAATCACAAATACCACCAAAATTCCGGATATCTGCTCCGTACCCACCCCTAACTATAAGGCCCATAGCTGACTCTGTTCTTTTTGTTGGATTGCGCTGACTCTTTCTTCACAGTACAAAACAGTTAATCACGTAAATATGGAATTTTACCAAATTCTCGTAAGTTTTGATTAAAAAATCACCCTAGGAGGTGAAATTCAAATTTTTATTAAATGTAAGTGGCTAAATGCGGTGGAATCAGAGCCGTCGATCTCAAAAACAACACGGCTTAAGCACGTAAATGGGCCCCACGTTTCGGCCACTTCCCCAAGACCCATTGTTTCAGCCTTAAACCCATTTTTTCACTTCTCTCTCTCTCTCTCTCTCTCTCTCTCCGCCTCCTTTTAAGACCAACTCTCTCTCTAATCCATCTCTCTCTCTCTCCGCCATTTCCAGAGCTCAACGAGCTCTCACTTTCTTTACGCACTTCTTGGAACGAAAGATATTCAGAGAGAAGAAGAGGAATCTTGAAGTTCTTGAATCTAAAACAACTCGGTGACTCTGTTTCCCATTTCCGGAGATCAGATCGGATCGGCTTTTTCAAATATTAATATCAAGATGCAGACAACCAACGGCTCAGATTCAACGTTGGCAACTTCCGGAGCCACCCCGCCGAATCAACAAACCCCTCCTCCACCTCACCAGTGGCAGCAACAACCACCGCAGCAGCAGCAACAGTGGATGGCTGCGGCCATGCAATATCCAGCGGCGGCGATGATGATGATGCAGCAGCAACAGATGATGATGTATCCTCACCAATACGTTCCGTATAATCAAGGTCCTTATCAGCATCATCATCCTCAGCTTCACCAATACGGGTCTTATCAACAGCATCAGCAGCAACACAAGCCTCTTGACCGTGGATCTGGAGATGATGTCAAGACTCTTTGGGTTGGTGATCTTCTTCATTGGATGGATGAGACTTATCTCCACTCTTGCTTTTCTCACACAGGCGAGGTATTATCTTGTTTTTTAGCTTTCCCTTCATTGGTACTCTGTTTTGGATTTAGATTATTCCTGAAATTGTTAAAAATTCATCCTTTTTTTTTGCAAATCTTTGACATGTTCTTGTGTTTTGATTCATTGTTAAACCAAGTTGCTTTTTTTTTTTAAAATTACTTAATTAGATTAGATTAGATCCAATGGATTATTGAATTTGCGTAGAAACAAATAGGGTAATGGAGAAGAGCACTGACCTGAAAAGGACAGGACAAGTTCAGATTTCGTTAGGCAAAAAAGTACTCTTGTACCTTGCCACGTTTAGTTAAACTTTTCTGGTATGAAAGAGAATAATTGCATAAGATTTTCACTTTTCAAGAATGTTCTGTTTTGGTCTTTCTCTGAAGTTTCTTGTTTTTGGTGATGAGCAGGTTTCTTCTGTGAAAGTTATACGTAACAAGCTCACTTCTCAATCAGAAGGGTATGGGTTTATTGAGTTTCTTTCACGTGCTGCAGCTGAAGAAGTTCTTCAGAACTATAGTGGTTCATTGATGCCAAACTCGGACCAGCCCTTCCGTATAAACTGGGCATCTTTTAGTACTGGTGAAAAAAGAGCAGTGGAAAATGGTCCAGATCTATCCATATTTGTTGGAGATTTGTCTCCAGATGTCACTGATGCTTTATTGCATGAGACCTTTTTTGATAGATATCCTTCTGTCAAAAGCGCCAAAGTTGTGATTGATTCCAACACTGGCCGGTCCAAAGGTTATGGTTTTGTGAGGTTTGGTGATGAAAATGAGAGATCAAGGGCTTTGACAGAAATGAATGGAGCTTACTGTTCGAACAGGCAAATGCGTGTAGGTGTTGCAACTCCCAAAAGAGCGATTGCTAATCAGCAGCAACATTCTTCACAAGGTAGACTGTGACATATCTTCTCGACCTAATGCTTTTTGCAGTTTGGATACCGAAATTTCATTTGTTGTTTGGTTTCTTTTCATGCTTTTCTCTGCAGATAGTATTACTCTCTGATTCTTTCTATCAAGTATACTAGTAGTTTTAGGGCGAGAGGCGAGCCAGATTTATCCATAGGACTTTAAAGTTAACAACTTAATGAGTATTGTTGCACTCAACAAAGTTTTTGAAATATAACGTTTTTATGTTTTCATTCGGAATAGCTCTGATACTGGCTGGTGGACATGGAGCAAATGGTTCCATGGCTCATGGCTCGCAGTCTGATGGCGAATCAACTAACGCAACTGTGAGTTGTCATATTTAGTTATATGTCAGCATTATTCAAGCTCTATATGTTCTTGTTGCTCATGTTAGTTTATCCTACTGCAGATATTTGTTGGCGGCATTGACGCTGATGTTACTGACGAAGACCTCAGACAACCTTTTTCCCAGTTTGGCGAGGTTGTTTCAGTGAAGATCCCAGTAGGCAAAGGATGTGGATTTGTCCAATTTGCTGAGAGGTGCGGTCCTCATCTAGTAGTAGTGTTGGCTTGTCAATCATATGATTGAGAAACCTGTAGGTGCTTATCTAATAGCGAAAAACGGGTAATCAAAGCGACTTGCCTTTGGTTTTGACAGGAAGAGTGCTGAAGATGCTATCGAGACTTTGAATGGGACAGTCATCGGAAAGAACACTGTTAGACTCTCTTGGGGACGAAGCCCGAACAAACAGGTAAAATCTAGTGCATTCTAACAGTAGAAGAGTAAATCTTGAGTATTTTGCTAGGGTCAAACTTTGTGAATAGTTGTTTTTTTTTGTTATAAAAAGTAAAGTCAGTAGTTGAGAATAGCTGGCGCCTTCCCTTCCTTTTCTCTTTTGACTTAGGCAAGTGGGAGAATATCTAATACATGTTTCCATGTCCAACTTGTATCACCAACCCTGAACATGGTCTTATGTCGACATGATTTTGTTTATCCTGACAATTTCGTCCCATCAAGTGCTCTTTGCTTTCCAACTACTTGTCTTGAACTAAACTTGAATCTCACTATGACCGGCAATAGATTTCCCTTTTAATTCTCATAATGTCCTCAACGTGTGGCAGTGGAGAGGAGACTCGGGACAGCAGTGGAATGGAGGATACTCACGAGGACAAGGTTACAACAATGGAGGAGGATATGCTAACCACCACGACTCCAACAACTATCATGGGGAGAATTGAAGAGACTCATCAAGTGATCATCATCACCATGATTTCACACATCAAATCTAAAACCTGTAGTCGAAAGGAGAATTTTGTTAGATGGATTTGATTTTGATAAACTTGTTGTTTGAAGAAGGATTCGAAAATTTTGGTTACTGGTTTGTCTCAGACTAATATAATGGTTGTGACTTGTTGGATCAAAATTCTCCTTTTAACTCCCTTTAATTTTGAAAAAACCTTAACTATAAGCCCTCTCTGAAATTAAGAAAACAATCCCGAAACTTTAAAATTCTCCTTTTAACTCCCTTTAATTTTGAAAAAACCTTAACTACAAGCCCTCTCTCTTTTTCTTCTTCGTCTTCTTCGTCTTCTTCTACTCTCAAGTCTCAACCTCTCCGGAGAGAAAAATAAGGAGAGTGAAGATGGAAGAAGCTTTCATGGCGATGCTCTCACACCTTCTCCATCTCCAAAACTCATTAGATCCTACAAGCACTCTCTTCTCTTCCACCTCCACATCTTCACCATCTTCAACCACACCTTCCTCCCTCCTCTCCACTTCCTCCGCCGCGCCTTTACTCTTTTTCACTCTCGCATCTCTCCTCTCCTTCCTCGCCGTCACCAGATCTTCCGGCGAATCCTCATCATCCTCTACTTCTCCTTCCCCTTCCCCTCCTCCACCTCTTCCCGACGGCGATTACTCCGTCGCTGCCTTCCGTGCCCTAACCACCGACCACATCTGGTCTCTCGATGCGCCTCTCCGTGACGCTCGTTGGCGCTCATTGTACGGTCTTTCCTACCCAGTCTTCATTACTGTCGTCGACAAGCTCAAACCCTTCATCACCGCTTCAAATCTCTCTCTCCCTGCCGATTACGCCGTCGCAATGGTTCTCTCTCGTCTCGCTCATGGCTGCTCAGCTAAAACCCTAGCTTCTCGCTACTCACTAGATCCATACCTCATTTCCAAGATCACAAACATGGTCACGCGTCTCTTAGCAACCAAGCTCTACCCGGAATTCATCAAGATCCCCGTCGGAAAACGCCGATTGATCGAAACGACTCAAGGATTCGAAGAACTCACTTCTCTCCCTAACATCTGCGGCGCCATTGATAGTACTCCGGTGAAGCTCAGGCGCCGCACGAAACTTAACCCTAGAAACATTTACGGTTGCAAGTACGGATACGACGCCGTTTTGCTTCAGGTCGTTGCTGATCACAAGAAGATCTTTTGGGACGTTTGTGTGAAAGCTCCAGGTGGAGAAGACGACTCTTCTCATTTCAGAGATAGTCTTCTCTATAAGAGGCTTACTTCAGGAGACATTGTTTGGGAGAAAGTGATCAATATTAGAGGTCATCATGTGAGACCATACATTGTTGGAGATTGGTGTTACCCTCTTCTCTCATTCCTGATGACTCCCTTTTCACCAAATGGCTCTGGTTCGCCGCCGGAGAATCTATTCGACGGAATGTTGATGAAAGGAAGGTCAGTTGTGGTGGAAGCTATTGGATTGCTCAAGGCTAGATGGAAGATTCTTCAAAGTTTGAATGTTGGAGTGAACCATGCTCCTCAGACTATTGTGGCTTGTTGTGTGTTGCATAATCTTTGTCAGATTGCTAGAGAACCTGAGCCGGAGATTTGGAAGGATCCGGATGAAGCTGGAACGCCTGCAAGAGTATTGGAGAGTGAGAGGCAGTTTTACTACTACGGGGAGAGTTTGAGGCAAGCATTGGCAGAAGATTTGCACCAGAGACTCTCTTCGAGGTAAAGACATGAGAACAGATCTTGGTCAACAATTGGAACTTTCTATCTTTGTTATCATGTAAGAAGCAGGTGCTTTCAAGTGTTTAGATAGCAGCCATTGTAGATTCAATCCTCTTGAAAAGAAAGTTTGAGGATTCAGAAAATGTTAAAAAGCTGACTTTGTTGCTTAGCCATCCCAACTGTCAGTTTTGTAACTTAGGAATGGGTTTATGGTTTGTTCTGTAACACATTGAGAATTAAATGTATGACTTCTATTGATATGGATTATGGAATCTTGGGAAGTAAGTTTTTCGGATTTAGAAATGTTAAATAGCTCTCTGTTGCCGATGATAAACTGTCAGTTTTGTGACTTGGGTATGGGTTTATGATTTGTTTTGTGGGACATTGTGAGCGAAATGTATCTGACAATTTTATCGGATTGGAATCTGAAACTTTTTCCTGGAAATTATGGAGACAGCCAATTGAAAAGCTAAAGGGATGTTCTTAATATCTGTCTTTCCATAATTTGGAAGAACATCATCACTATGGATTATCATCTTATTATACAACTCTCCAGGCCTGTCCGTTTTTTCTGGATACTCTTTCTTTGTCGGAACTTAGCATTCTTTTTCTAAAACTATAAACATAGGAATGGGTCCTGAAAACAATTCCAATACCCAATCCCACTCCAAGAATCAATAAAGTTCTTGACATCCATCCATTTGCAGTTGTATGTTCTTCCCCTTTCAAATCAATTACCGAGTTACTTTCTTCATCGTGTTTTCGCTAATGGTTGTCTAGTAGAGACACCGTGCAACAGTTTGACAAAACCCAAGAAACTCAGCTTCCCATCTGTGTGTCTTATCCAGTCATGTAGAATGGTATGGACCGGGATCGATGATCCAACACCAAGTTCCTACAAAACATTTATGTTCCCTTTAGTTTATGAATTAGCTGAATATATTGTAACGCATGACAGAAGCAAGTTTAGGAATTAGCTGAATATATTGTAAAGCATGACAAAAACTTACGGAAGCGAGTTCTTCGATGACGATAACTCGGTTTCCATTCATTTCAAATAGCTCATAAGCATGACGAATGCTCTGCTCCCAACAATCAAGAGACTCATGCTGATGAACGCTAATGGAAGCTGCACAAAACTCTTCAAAATCCATCCCTTTGTATTGAAGTCCATTTAACTGTCATTATCCAACAGCAAACTTTCGTTAACCAACCTTGTATTGTATCTTAAACAGATTAAGCAAAAGGACAAGAACAGAAACGAGACCATACCAACGCAAGAAAGTCCGGGATCCGTGATTCCTTCATTGCTTCTGTTGCATTTGTAGCAAGTGCCTGTCCAACAGAAATAAATCTAGCTTTGAGCTGTTTGTTCTCTACGAGGGAGAGAGACAGAGAAAGAGAAGGCGCATACCAGTCTGATGCTATCTAAAGTGATGAGGCCATTATTGTTGGGTGCTAAGAGTGCAAACTGCGCTTTCAGATAAAGAAGTTCATCGGTAATTAATGTCTTGGACAGAGCCTGGAGAGAGTAAAAGAGTTAGGATCAACAATAAAATTTGGAGCAAACTAGATACAAAGACAACAAAAATCAACACATCCTTAAATGTTCTTTAGCAACAGTAACAAGGTTAGAAGAGAAATGTACCATCAAAGCAGCTTTGCGCAAAGACGAAGATCTCAAGTATGCTTTGATCTGCTTGAAGATCAGAATATCAAATGGGATATCTATTTTCTTATAACCCGCAATCCAAGGATGCACTGTAAAAACCGAAAAAAAAACGTAGAGCAACTTCAACTGGTGATTCTTGACAGCTAGAAACAGAAGATAATTAAAGAAAGATGTGGAGATTTTAGAGATTACTGACTCAAAGCTTGAGAGGCCGTCATTCTTTTCCGAGGGTCCTTGTACAATAATCTCTTAACAAAATCTTTTGCCTCAAAGGATAACGAAGGCCAAGGAGGTTCATCAAAACTCGGATCAGCTTTTAGAACTGCTCTGAAAATTCCTGATTCAGTTCTTGCCCAAAAAGGACGGCTTCCACATAGGAGAATGTATGCTATTACTCCTATGCTCCATACATCCGCTTCCGTGGTATAAGATCTGTGTAGAACTTCAGGGGCTACGTAATATGCACTTCCCACTATGTCATTTAATCTTTCGTCTGGTCTGACAAAATCCGATAAGCCAAAATCTATGACTTTCAACAGAGAATTTTCCTCCTTGGAAGTGTACAAGAAGTTCTGAGACATGAAAGTGTTTCAAATTTGAGATTGGTGTTAAACTAAGTGACGATCATTCTTTCAGACTTTCAAGCGAAAAACCAAGACGAAAGTGTGGTTCACCTCTGGTTTTAGATCTCGATGAACAACTCCTTGGAGATGACAGAAAGCTACAACGTTAAGGATCTGTATAAGCACTGCTTTTGCATCATCTTCAGAGTATTTTCCTCCCCTGTAAGAGAAGTGAATATGTAATACTTAGACAGCCAATAGAACATCTCTAAGAAGAATCTCTGACCATAAGTTAACAAATATCATAACAATCTTTAATAGCAGACCTTGCTAGTATCCTGTCAAGTAGTTCACCACCTCCACATAACCTGAAAGTTGAAAGAAAGTAAATGTTTATTCACAGCAGAACATTTTGAAGTAAGCCAAGTCGAGAAACTAAGAATCTGATGGCTCTCCTAGTAGATTCAACATCACACAGGGATATATAAGCACATGGTATGTGGTGTGATAACACAGTTTTCTTACTCCATAACGATGTAAACGTTGGCATTGTCCTCGAACGCATCATAGAATTGTACCAAATTTTGATGTCCAGATAACACCCGTAGTATTTTCACTTCTCTTCTCACATCCTCTATAGATATTGCAGATGTCATCTGCCAAACCAAAAATGATGAGCAACAGTCTATAATGGATTAAGCTAACATTCTTAGTTAGTCATCAAAATAAGGACTATAGAGATTTCATTTGCTTAATGACAATAAGCACAAATGCCCATGCTTCCAATTTATTGACCAATTCAAAACGTTTAGAAATTTTCACATAAAAGTCAGCAAAGCTATTATCTACAACCATTGAAAACTTGGCTATTGAAAAACATGGATGATTCATTAGTCTCATTGAAAAACTTCAACCTCATCCGAGTTCATTATTTACTACTTTGTTATTCTATTAATTTCTTCTAAGCGTGAAAGTCCACATACGCTATTAATTTTCCAAAAAGATGGCTCAAAAACAAGAGGACAGTAAGCTCGTAGAGAAGAAAAGAAAAATCAAGAGAACGTAATGATCAAATTACAGGTTCATCATGAAGCAAAAAAGAGACTAACACTATGCTGGTTTGTTCTTCTACCTTGAAACAGTTTAACATCTACTAACCAAATCAGTCAATTTCGCTATCACTACAATGAAATGAAGCACTTGAAGCACAAAACTTGAGAATTTGGAAAAAGTAAAGTAGTAAAATTGACCTTAGATTTTGGGATGACTTTAACAGCAACCTCGTGATCTTTGAGCTCTCCTTTCTTGAACTTAGCAGAGCAAGTGTACCCAAAATGCCCTCGCCCAATCTCTTCCCCTAGCTCAATCCTACTCTGTAACTCCTTTGAGAACCCAAATCTTTTATCCAGCCCTACCTCTTCCCTCTCCTCCTCCTCCGTCTGCTGCCTCGTCGCCGGCAGAGCAGCCTCCTTCTTCTCCTTCCTCCGCCGCAGAACATCCCTTATATGTTTCGCCGGTGACGGAGGGTGGAAAGCACGCGCGAGCTGACGGAGCGGAGTGCTGGTAACGCTCTTACTCTCTACCCCTCCTCCTCCGTCACGGCTCTTGTTACGGCGGTGCCGAGCGGGACTAGGCGTGTAAAATGGGAAAAAAGGAGAAGCCTTTACGGCGGGAGAAGAAGGAACCGGTGAATTCCCGGGATGGGCAGGGGTAGAATCGTCATTTGGAAGAACCGCGTCTTTGGGTGCGTAAGGATTAGGTTTGACGGAGGAGGAGGGTTTGGAAGTACATCCTCCCATAGTCCTTCTTCTTCTTCTTCTTCTTCTTCTAAAAAAGGGACAGAAGAAGATGAAGAAGATATGGGAGTTATGTCTGGACTTAAAGAGAATCACAGCAATGACATTGAAGCACTCTGGTTTGGTTTCAATTTAGTTAGAGAGAGAGAGAAGTGAGCTGTAGAAGAGAGAGAAGCCACATGGCAGAATCTGCGGGTGTGAAGTTGCTTCCATCTGATGAAGAAGGTTAGATTAGATGTGGATTGGTGGAAATTTAGTTTGCTTTTTGCCACGTCTTTCTACTTTTGTCCTTTTTTATTTAGTTATGTATTCACATATGTTTGTTCTTTCTCTAAGCAATAATACTATACGTTTTCTTTTGTTTTGTATTTTATCTATCATTATTTTTTGTCTTTTTTTCTTCTTGTTTTTTTGTTGTTGATATTTGTCTTTTTCTGTGTTGGTAAATATCAAAACCAAAACAAAAGTTAATATAAATTGGTGAATGGTGAAGATCTCATTTTAATTCAAAAAATCTTATAGGAAATGATAAGAAATAAAAACGTTTTGAAATGTATTTATGGACGTTATCATTTCAAAAATGGGAATTAACTTTTTTTAGCTCAATCTTGTGATAAATACTACAAGATACTAAATTAAGGTTTTATATAAGATACAAATAATATTGCTCTGAAAATCAGGATTACGTTATATAAATTGATTGGATGTACTTGTTCTTGAAACATGCTGATGTTGTAACCTAACAACTTCATTGTATCTGGACAGGGCGTATTTCAATTTCAATTTTTAATAAGATTTCATCATTTTCAATATACTTGATCCACATCTCTAAGTTTTTATTTTTCTCTCACTAACTCTTGATTTGATAATCTCTCTCGAATATTTTACAAGATCGTAGATATCAGTTTAATTAATTATCATTATTTTCATCTACCATCTGTACGTAATATAGTATAGACAGTTGGTAATGCATGTTTGGTTTCATTGAAATATATGACCAACAATTTCCATCCTTTGAAGGTTTTATATTAATTTGGAAGTAAAATTAGGTTTTGTTTCATTTAAAGATTGCATATTTAATTATAATTGATATGATCGTTTAGTTTAGTTTGTTTGCTATAGGTTATGAAATTACATGACACAATACTCATTTGTCTTTCCACTTTTTTTTTTTTTTTTTCATCAATTGTCTTTCCAGTTATTTTAGAAAGAATATCTAGATTAGTTTTCAACCAATCTTCCGGATCCCCGTCACTTATTCAACTAAATTATTTAACTAGTCAACTAAATCAAAGCAAAGAGTTTGAGATACATGTACACCAGGGTTGCAATCCTTGTGCTATAAACCCTTCATTATTCAGTTAATCTCACAAAATTTAATAGATCAAAACATACAAAAAGAAATGACCCAAATTTAGTGAATGAAAAAGATAAGAGAAGTTACATTAAATAAAAAAACCTCAAAAAAGGTCACCGTCGTAGTTTCATCATACACTATAGTTTCTTCCTCCCAAAGTCATGTGCCTTTGATTCTGTGAATTAAAAAAAAACAGCCCATATGTATTATTTGGTTAATTAACTCTATATCTTTTATTACCTCTGTAATAATAAATAATAATAAATAGTAGTCGTTGAGGTAGGGAATTATTTAGAGATATGTTAGGTGAGAGTGAGATGGAAGCTGGTTTGCCACGTCCCATGGTGAAGCCTCTAGTTCCATCAGGCAATCTTGGTCTCTTTGTTGCGTTTAGGAGACGAAGATTGTTGTGAGCCTAGGCTCGGTATCCCGAGCTGACTGCAGACCCAACCCCGAAGCTACGTCCTCCTCCTCCTACAGCGTAGCTTCTTGGGGATCGTTCTCGTCCTTTTCCTCCCCCTTTATCCCACAGTCCACCAACATTGTTGTCATCACCCTAACGTGCATACCAAGAAAATTTAGTTTCTATATATTATATGGAAAAACATTTCGTCGGGATTAAGCAACAGTACTAATGTCGTTATCAAGCTGTGATTCGGTTAAATGGAGACGTGGAGAGTCTTCTCGTGATTCATAAGAAGGGAGTTCATCATCGATGTGGATTCCATCGAAGTTTCTTCGGTTCTTGAGCACCGATTTGGGCTGTAGCAGTCAAAATATGCGAACGCAATCTCATATTGTTAAATGTGCGACTTAAGAAGAGAATATATAAACTTACCGAGCATCTAAGCAGCCTCACATTTGCTATATATATCTCAGAAACTAATATACAGAGCTTTGGATCAAAAGATAGTTGAAAGTAAGGATTTTAGAATTTGGGCTTACCTTGAGGGTCTTTTCTTATATGCTTTCTTGTGAGTCAAGATAAGTCAAGAAACTTGTAGAATCCTATAAAAGTTGGTTTAGAGGCTCACTTTCCTAGTTGTAAATCGCAATTAATCAATTTTTTTAAGAAAACACAATAAAGAATAAATTGAAATATCGCTGATTTTGTTTCAGTATATTACTTTAAGGTTTTTCTTTGTCATCATCATTAGTTTTTAAAAATGATATGAAGTAAAGAACTGAAAATAAAAGATCTCACCTTTTATTTCACTAATAATATAAGCTTAATCTGCAGTTGTACTATACTTGTGCAAAAGTTAAAAATTGATAAATCTAGAAAATTCCACCACTTAATAAGATGAGCATAAAGATTAGCTTCAACTCTTTTGTCTTTTCAAAATTTGCACAAAATTGATTTTCTTTCTTAAGACAAAAAGAATGAATATTGTTGGAACTACTCTAAAACATAATAGTATTCAGTCAAGTCGGACTATTGAGTTTTTTTGAATGGGAAAGGATGGAGAAGCGCAATTCATAATGCAATATTAATCCTTAAATCCACTTAAAGAAAGTTAGACATATATATTATGAGACAAGCTTTGTTTGTAAATGATTACTTTCAATTATCTTTTGATCCAAAGCTCTGTATGAGACAAGCTTTGTTTGTAGTCGACCTTCAAGGAAAAACGTTTGAGAGTTAATCGCATGTTAACGGACATGATTAATTGGGCATTCAGAAATCCTACACAGGAAGAAGACATAGATGAAGATTCCCGGGTAGATATGAATTTGTTTGTAATTTCAAAAATCCACCCAGAAGACTCCGCGTTGGTCAAGGTTGTTCAAGAATTGTCGAATATGTGTTACCAGATGCTCTTAGTTGATCCTGATGACTGCTCACTAGGAGAGCTACCTCCAACCCCAAGCTGCCAAGCAAAAGAGATACTTCCTTTTGTAGTCTTGGTATGGCGTTGGGAAAGCCTGTTACGTGGTGGAGAACCTCTCCAAGAATATGATGATGATACTACCACTGATGCTGTTTGTGCGGAGCCAATGTCACAAGGTGCTATAGTTCCGACTACTACTGATGCTGTTTGTAAAACAGCAAGCGTCTTCTGGGACGTGGAGGATTTCCCACTCCCTGCTGATTGCGATCTGTGTTGGTTTCGGGAGAATCTCAAAGAACGTCTCCGGAAACAGGGAATCCTTGGTGATGTGTCAATTACGGCTTACGGTGAGGAGAAACCAGCTGAAGTGGTGAGTCGCTATAAGGATGCCGGAATCACCTTCGTATCCAAAGGTAATAAATATTGGAGACTTGTTCTCATGATGGCCGACATTGGTTTGTGGACATTGGGACATCGCGACGTTTACAACTATGATAAAACTGTTTTGATGTTAATCGTCAAAGATGATAAAGACACGGAGTTCAACGAGTATATTCAAAACTTGGATTGGGTAATGTCTTTAAGTGTTTTCTATGTATTGGCTGATCAAGAACCTGGGCCAGTTCCTATGGTACAAGAAGCATGGTTTTGGGAAAAGCTTTTAGAGGGAGAAGAGCCTATGCCCCAGGAGGAATATCGCAAGATATGTTCACAATTGAAACGGAATGTTAAGAGTTCAGATTCTGAACGAGCCGGGTCTAATAACATCAATAGTTCAGACTCATAGTTTCTCTCGCCGGCCATGTTGACACTTCTCATTGTCCTCAACCATAATACATGTTTTGTGTTTGAATAACCCACTAGCCTTTCATCATCCTTGTCTTCTTAAACTCTCTCTTACTTGTCTTGTGTTCAAATAAATAGTATGCAGTTTTCCGTCAATTGAGCTTTTTCTTTTATTCACTACTTCATTGGACACGACGATATATTGTTCCCTTTTAATTGAATAAAATAAAAGAAAGGTTGGTTTGGAACCCCCCCTCTTTAACTTGTGAAACCAGGTGCAATTTTCACAAAAAAGGTCGCAGCTTTGATCTCGGATACTACCACAAATCGTGCAATAAGAGCTACAAAATCTTGAGCTACTATCGTGGTACCAAATATTTCTTTAAATTGAACAATTTTTTAGTTTTTTTTCTCCGAAAACCGATCCGAATCGGACACCTATCCGAACCGAAACCGAACCGATGACTCATAAAATCCGAACGGATAATAAACTCTCATACCCAAATTATCCGAATCCGAATATATCCAAACCAAAACCGAACCCACAAGAGGGAGAAGAGCCTATGCCCCAGGAGGAATTCCACAAGATATGTAAAACGGAATGTCAAGAGTCCTAGTTTTTTTGGCCGGCGAACCGAGAGCTCTTCGATAAAAAAAAAAACAAAGAAAGATGACTAGATTTCAAGTGCATATCATACCCATTTGGGGCTCATGTCAAGTCACTCGTACGGTTTCTTGCTTGCTTCAAGTTGGGGAAATTATTCTCATGATATCTTGTTCAATGCCAGAGGTAGATACCATGTCAATGGATACAAGTTACTGGAAATAGTTAGGATGCAAGAAGAGATTAAGACTTTGCCTGATTATTTCCTTTCTTGTGCGTGTGCTTTTTATAAACTATTCATCATGTCTTTTCAGTTTTCTTTAGAAAGAAAATTGATTAGTTTCCAACCACTCTTTCAGTCACTTGTTCGAATCCATTATTCATCTAAATCAAAACAAAGAGTTGAGATACAAGGGTTGCAATTCTTGTGCTATAAACCCTTTATTATTCAAATAATAATCTCACAAAAATAAAACATATTAAACATACAAAAAAGAAATTGCCCAAGTTAATTGAAAGAATGAAAGAAGTTATATAAAACGAACCCTCAAAAAACGTCACCATGCCTTCACTATCATCTCTCAGAGTCATGTGCCTTGCTTCTTTTGAACGCATCTTAGAAAAACCAATCCATATGTATTATTTGGTTAATTAACTCTAAAACTTTTACCTCTATTATAATAAATCAATAATAAATAGTAGTCAT